ATATACTCTTCCTACTTTCATATTTGGAAAATGTATCAGAAAAATAAGATTTTAACATAGTTCTTCAGTGCTCTTTATTTCTGAATGATTGTCTTCCTAATCTTCCTAACCTTTAGGTACATTTATAAATCGAGTACATTTATGAATTTAAGTACAGTTGACCATTGAACAACACAGGGGTTTAGGGGTGCTAACCCCCCCGTCTCCACCCCCTATAGGCAGTGGAAAATCTACGTACTGCTATTTCTGCCTCAAGACAAAGGAATTGATAAATGTCTCACCCAAGGGCAGGAAGGTGAAACAATTTGGATAGAATCAGGACTCGAACCCAGTTCTTTTGATTCCATATATTGTGATCTCTAATGAACACAAACTTTCCCCAACACTTAGTTAATTTAAAGAACTGTAAAATGAAAATACAGATACTAAATTTATTGGGGAAAAATCCACGTTCAGGTGGATCTGCACAGTTCAAACCCATGTTCAAGGATCAACTGTGTATTTATAAATTAAGACCATTTAAGTAAAAATAATTTAAATAGAGAAAAGTCAAGTTAAATATATATCTCAAACCTCTAAAGAGGGAATGACTTTAAGCTTAGAAACAATAGATGTTTGCAAATGAAAAGTTTGATAGATGGGACCACATGATGATATCTCGTTGTTGTTAATGGAAAGGAGGGAGGTTTGTCCATCCCTGTTAGTCATATTTCTTCCTTGGTTAATGCTGTTGGTTTGTGTTCTTTGCCCATTTAGGTACTGGGTCTCTTAGAGGATCCTTACTGATTTATGTAAACTCGTAAAAATATCTGCAGTCATTTTCTGCAATTTTTTCTCAATCTTCCTGCATGATCATTTTTTAAAACAATTTTTGAGATCCCCTCCATCAGATTTTGCATTGTTATCGTAAGATAAATTTCTAGGTCCAGAATTGCTAGATTGTCTTTGAAATGGGGAGTGAATTTGATGCAATCTGAGTGATAATGGTAGTCTTTTAAAAAATGCCTTTGAAAAAAATAAAATAAAATAAAAAACACCTTTGTGGACATTCCACAAAAGGAAGGTGGAAAATGTACACAGGACCTATTTTCTTAGAATGTCACTTAGCATTTAAGTTATATCCTCACATAAGATTTTAATTTTTCCCTGTGGAATATAAAAGAGTTACCTCATGTCAGCGTTAAATGCCTGTAATGTAAGTGCCACTCTTACCACAGCAAACTCTTTACTGGGGAGAGTGTTGCTGATGGTTGATCATGCCCAGTCCAGGCTCCTTGCCTATCTGCCCTTCCTTACTAATTAGTAACTCAACAAGTAGAGGTAAGCTGAAATGCTTCTTCATTAGCTTAAGGGTGAGAATGTTGGGAAAAGTAAATAGCAATAAAGTCAGGGGCTTATCTGTGGATTTTGACTGTCCACTAATTTTCTGTCACCAGTTTTAGTGGGTAATTTAGAGCCTGCTGTTGGCTGCATTTCTAAACTACTGCTGTTCTCGACCCTCCTATAAGGACATTTCTTCTATAAATTGTTGGCATGCTTCCAGTTTTTATTTTGCAGATAGCAGAAGAGAAGCCTGATCTGGTCTGCAGTCACTCAGGAACTCAGTGACTTGAGATGAATTTCCATTCCTGACCCAGTTTATGTTGTTTACTGAAGGAAAATCAGTGCTCCCGGGCAGTCTTTTTATGCTTAGCTTACTGTTTCACTGCACGCAGTGACGCTTACCTGCTTTTCCAGCATCCTCTAACCCCTCAATCTGCACTATCTGATACCATAGCACTAGCCACATGTAGTTTTTTTAATTAAAATTAAATAAAACACATTCACTTTGGTCACACGAGCCACATTTCAAATGCTCCATGGCCATGTATGGCTAGCAGCTACCATACTGAAGATACGGATATACAATATTGCTGTCGCTGCAGAAAGTTCCGTTGGACAGTACTTCACACCTTCCGTGATCCACAGGCAACCTTTGCCACATAACATAAAGAGAAAATTACAACACGTTTTACCTATTTTAGAAACCTGGAAATTTCTCGGTATCCTTTCTCTATCTTTCCTTGTGTTTCAGAGGTAGCATATTTCATCCTTTTCAAAGCGATCCTCTTCCTCATGGACTGATTCCAGTCAGGGGTTCTGCACTGATGGGACAGTGGATTGGACCTCCGCCTTCTTCCCTAGAACCACCCCTCTTGTCTTGCATCATTCAGATTCTTCCCATTATGCTGCCACCTTCCACCGTGCCTGCCACGTGGACCAGCCGCCGATTTCCCTCCTCTTTACCAAACTTCTCTAAGAAATAGCCTGTATGCCCTGTCTACAATCTCTTCCCGCTTATTCCTCAGCCCTTTCAGCCTAGATTCTGCCCCTCATCTCCTGCATGTGGCTCAGTGAGCTCTCTCATTGGTTACCAGCTGCCCCGTGGTCGCCAAACCCAAGCAGCCTCGTCGCAGTCACCCTCTTCCTCGACATTGCAAAAGTATTTGATACTGTGGCCAACTCTTCCTTATAATTTTCTTTCTCCTTTACTTCTGTGATATGTCCTCTTTTGTCTCCTCTCTCCTAGTTCAGTCACCTCCACAGGCCTGTCTTTCATCACCACCCTCTTCGTTTGTCAGCGCAGTTCTGCCCTCCTGTCATTTCCGTTTTCTTACCCATAACTGGCTCCAGTTATTACCCAGATTCTGAGAGTTCCCAGATTATCATCCCTACATTCGATCTTCTCCCTGAACTCCAGATCAGAAGGTCCGGTGTTCATTGGACATTTCTGTTAGGATTATTCTGCCTCTATCTCAACCTTCAAACCTCCAGTTCTCAATATAAGTTCTCAGCTGCGGGGCATATTTCCTCTCCAGATTTTCTTATAATTAGTGTTGACTCTTGAACAACATGGGGGTTAGGGGTGCCGACCCTCCGCACAGTTGAAAATCAGCGTGTGCCTTTACTGGTGGCCCTCCATTTCCGTGGTTCCACATGCAAGGATTCAACCAACCTCAGACTGTGTAGTACGTATTTATTGAAAAAAATCCCTGTACAGTTGGATCCGTGCAGTTCAAACCCTTGTTGTTCACGGGTCGACTGTGTACCACCGTGCCCCCAGCCCCACTCTCGCACATGTTTTTTCTCACTTTCTCATTCCATCTGTTTGTCTCGGTCTCTCTCATCACTGCGATAGTTTTTCTGGCCATCCCTTATTCGCCAATCCTAACCTTCCAACGCCCCCCACCACCACCACCACCTCCTGTTTTAGGTCTGACTCTTCTTCGTTGGCCTGGAGGATTCTTCCCCTGTACTGATACTTGCATTCTTTCTTTTCTTCACTCATGTTGTTGCCAGATAAGTTTTCTGAAGTCCATTTAAAGAAAAATATGTGCAAACACATTTACATGCAAACATAGGCATAATAATTACCAATTTAAATTTTTGAATAAATATTTCCATGGTTCAAAAATCCAAAAGGAACCAAAAGGCATGCAGTGAAAAACTTCTCTCCCACTTGGGCCTTTTATCTTCTCAGATCCTAGTTTCCTGACACATTCGCCATGGAGTAGTTTTATATTGATTTTTTAAGGAAAATTTTAATGCGTATAAAGCACATGTTATGTGTGTGTGTGTGTACATAAATTTTCCCTTCTCTACACAAATGGCAGCATAAGAAATATGCTCTTCTGCACTACTCTTTGTCTTTGCCACTAAAGAACATATCTTAGAGATCTTTCATAACAATCTCATTCTTTTGTACAGCTGTATAGAATTCCTCCACAATTTACTTAACCCATGCCCACTTGATGGACATTTAAGTCATTCTCCATCCTTTGCTAGTCCAAACACTGCTGCCAGGAATAACACTTTGATAAGTCATTTTGCTCTTATGCAAGTGTATCTGCAGGTCACTTGTGAGAGCTGGTCGTTGGACTGTTTATTTACTGTTCTCTGAACGTCCACAGTCCCTGTCCCCAGTGCTCTGCTTCTCATGTACCAACTTACATATAGTTCAGCCCCTTCCTACTCCTCTGCCCAAAAGCCTTCAAGGACTCCCTGTCGGCAATAAATCTGTCTCTGCCCTGTCAGCGTAAAGGAGAAGCAGGCAACTCAATACACAATAGCAAACAGTGGGAGCGCTCGCCACTGTTTCTTGTTGGACTCCGTGTTCCAGCTACATAGGTCTACCTGCTGTTTCCCTAACATGGCCCGTGCCTTTCTGTCTCCCTTCTTTGCACAGAGTGCCTTCCCTTTATTCTCCGTAGGCCTCTCCAGATCCATGGCATCTTTTGAGACTGAGCTCCTACACCACCATGTCTGTGAAGCTTCCTTGATTCCTGCACCCTTCTGCTAAAAAGAGTCTGGGCTTCCCCTGGGTACTTTCATAGGGCATATCCTTCTCTGCCCTGGATTACATTCCGATATCTGTGCAATTCTTCTAGTTTAGCTTCTAGTTAGTAATGCCCCAGACATAAGGATGGTGACTTGTTTTGATTTCTCATCCCCCAGAAGTTGCCTAACATGGTGTCATACCAATGAACGAGAAAGAGCAAAGTTGATTCTATTCTTGTCTGACGTGAGGGTTGGGGGAATACTTAAGAGCCTAGAGCCAAGAAGTCTTGTATTCTCAGTGACTGCTCCTGTGACCTCCTGGGAAATGCGAGTTCTGTTCCATTCTATGTTTATTCTATGGCCAGCTAAAAGCATTGGCAGGACCAAAAATGCGGTCTGTATTACAGCACAACCAGACCTTAATATGTGATTGGAACCAGGTCTCCATTTTTATTATGACAGCGAGACTCCTTTTTTAAAGCTTCAATTATTTACAAAAAAATTGAATAAAAATTATTTATGGAATCTCGTCTCACCACTGCAGCTTTGACTATAAGGCCATTAGAGGGTAGAGCAGTAAACTGCATATGAAACAGTGGATCCAGGGTACCCTGCGTTCTAACTGGGATGTCACTGAGGTGTGGACACTGTATGGTGATGTTTTCTCTCTTCTGTGCTGTTAGGTTTTTGAAGAACCCTCCATTAGCCTTTTTGCTCTGGAACATTGTGAGGGGAGAGAGTTACATCTAGAAGAGGCTGTGAACTCTGTTCTGAACAAGGACCTGCACTTCTACACCCAGTCTGTGTGGGTAAAAAGTGGACTGTAAGTATGGGACAAGGGCTTGGCCTGCTTCAGTCACTCTTGTAGAACAGAGTTGCGCAGTTGCTTTTTATTCCCCCACAGCTGCTGTTACGTGGTCTGATGGTACTCTTACTCCTTCTTTTCTCTCTCCATGTAATAATAGTAGTTTCTCTCAAATAAGAGAAGACGGTGGACTGTGTCCAGTATGAAGTAGCAGGCAGTGGTCTGGGAGAAGAGCCTGCTGGGAGAGAAGGGCTGCCACGTGTTCAGAACATGTGTCCTAGAGAAGGTGGACCAGATGACCGTAACAATTTGAGCCCACTTTCTTTTCAGAAGAAAACTAATTAAACCAGCAACTTTGACTGGTTGAGACCATTGCCTGCTTATGACAAGTGACTAAAACTAATAGGGTTTTTTTGTATTTTGATTTGACATCTTGTTTATTCTAGAGCTGTTTGCTCCAAGGCAGTTATTTTCAGGCTGGATGTCCTGGCTGACCCAGCCCACCTACCAGCGTTGCTGTTCATTCAGGATGTCAGTCAGGGTGGATCCAGGTCTTGCGGGGCCTGCACTTTTACAATCTAGGGAGATGACTCTAAGAAATGAAAAATGATGGGTATGAACTTCATTAGGTATGAACTTGCAAATTTATTCAGAACAGAAATGGTAAGTGGCCTGCAAGGGAGGGGCCCTGAAGTTGAAGCTCTAATGCTTCCTAGAAAATCTACATCTCAGACCATTTCTGAGAGTGGCTGTCAGCCTGCCCCTCCTCCTGTACCTTTGGTGTTTAGGTACCAAAAGTCATCTGAAAGAACACACATTGCTCTCAATGATTAATATAAAGATGCCTATTTTTATGTCTTCTGACTTTGAAATTGTGTGATAATCAACTCTCCTTGTTAAACTATCTTGGGGATAATGAAAGACAAAGCTGAGACTGTACGTTGATTTGAAAACTGAGTTATAACTATTATAGTAAGTGGTTTCTGTATCATTCACGTGTACAGCAGTTTAAACTTTCTTCTGCAAAGCATTTCACATGGTTTGATGTTTATTAAACATAAATTGCTTTGCTCTCTCTAAGCATAATAATCCCTATATTATATCATTTAATTAATCCCTATATATATCATTTACCACTTAACTAACTATGAACTGAATTCTACATCCCTGTGAAAGTTAGGACTTTCACAGCATTTTTTTTAATAATAAATTTATTTATTTTTGGCTGCGTTGGGTCTCCATTGTTGCATGCGGGCTTTTTCTAGTTGTGGCGAGCGGGGGCCACTCTTCCTTGCGGTGCACGTGCTTCTCATTGCAGTAGCTTCTCTTGTTGCGGAGCACAGGCTCTCGGCGTGCAGGCTCAGTAGTTGTGGGATCTTCCTGGACCCAGGGATCGAACCCGTGTCCCCTGCATTGGCAGGTGGATTCTTAACCACTGCACCACCAGGGAAGTCCCTTACAGATTTTTTACACATTTCTTTTCTTTACATTTCTAAGTGGAACTGATAGTTACTGACTCACTTCTGGAAATTTCTCACGAGCTTATTTCACTCTTTTGTAGAAAACTGGTGCCATTTTACCTTAACATTCTTATTGCTCCTCTTCAGTTTATTATGTACCTCCTCTCACTGTTCTGGATTCTCTGAAAGAGAATTGGTACATGGAGTAAGGACTAGTGAAGGCTGTCTGAAGGTTTTCCTAGGCCACAGATGGCTCCCAGAATGCCACTTAATGCACAGCCAGCTGCCCTCAGTGACAAGTTTTGTTCTGTTTAATCCCTGTATTATGCCACATCTCTGATCTGTGGTGGTAATGGGGGCCAAGTTAATGCTTTTTAACTGTGAAATTCATTAGATTAATACATAATGAGGTATAGTTTATTGAAACCTTGCCTAGGTTTTATAACTGAGACATCCCTGCCTGTCTAAAAAGAATCTGCAAAGCTGGAGAGGTAGCTCAGCCTCTCCGTGGTCATGCTGTCCTGACTCTGCACCAATCTGATGGTTTAGATTGTGTTGGCAAGAAGGGGTAGAGGGAAGGTCATATGCCTTGTTCATCCATTCATAATTTGGCCAAGGCTGATCTTGGCTGTGGAGAGCAGGAGGCTTCGTCTGAACCAAGCAAGGCAGCCACCTCGTCTTCATGCCTACTTTCTGAAAGCACCATATGCCATGACCTGGAGTCCTGCTGAGAATTTCAGATGCTCTTGGCAGTCCCAGCTTATTCTCCTTAGCTTGATAACCACCTCAAGCAGGGCTCAGCAAACCTTTTCAGTAGGGGCCACGTGGTCTTTTCAGTTTGTTGGCTATCCTGCCTCTGTCACAAGCATTCAACCTGCCATTGTGGGTGCTGAAGCAGCCGAGGCCAGTCCGGAAAGGAATGGGCGTGACTGTGTGCCACTGAATGAGTCTCCAGGCTCCAGACACTCACCTTGAGGCGCTGCACACTTTGACACACTGTAACTTGGCCCGATTTGAAGGCCCCTGGGGTCCTGAGAAGTATTTGCAAAGGAGCTAGACCTTGAAGTAAGGGTTCAGACCAGATTTCTGTGGATAATTTTAAGTAGCCCTTGCTGGGAGTTGTTGTGGAAGGAGGTGTGTCTGCAGAGGTCACTGGAGCTGTCCAGAGAGGCTTTGAAGGACGTGGGACAGTGAGCCTAAGAGTGGAGAGGAAACAGGTGGTTTTTAACTGGGTGATTAGGGAGGAATTACGGTCTATCTCTGAATGTTAAAATGTTAGGAAAAAAACTTGGTATCATCAAAGGAACAAAGAATCCTAAAGCTGGAGGGAACCTTGTTTTGGACGTAAGAAAACCGGATTCCTGATGAATCTAAATCTTCTAAGCCACAGTCCAGTGGGCTTTCTCCTAGTCCTCCCTGCTTTTTCCATTAAAATATACAATTACACAATGTTTTTTCTTAAAAACAGTCTACAAACCTGGAGGTTTTAAAGAAGGAACCCTATATGGTATAGTAAGAGGTATTTTTGTTAAAAGATTGCTTTCTGTTTTAAGCATCCCATTTTTTTCTTTCCTCTTCTCGTATAGGTGGATAGCTTATGAAGGATCCAATTTCTTAGGAAGACAAATCCTACTCAAGCCTAATGAGATCCCGAATTGGACAGCATTCAGTGGATGGAAAACAATTGGTTCCCTCCGTCCTATGAAGCAGGTAAGGAGAAGAGAACCATACGATCCAAAATAGCTCCATTTCTTAGTAGAAATGTCAAAACCCGCAGCATCTGAACTAGGGACCGTTTAATTTAGTGCCACTTATGTTATAGGAGGATCTGATTAGGATGGGGATTTTATAGATTTTAACTAATTCATAAAATTGTACCTAAGGTCAGCACTGGGTTTTAGCTTTGAGTCCAGAGTCCTATTGACCTTGTTGCCTTTTCATGGGAAAATAAGTATCATAAGCTCTGTGGCAAGCAGTGGAAAGAAGAATGAACTCTGAGAGTGCACTAGTTTTACTTCCTAAGTACCTGGCTTTTTCCCCCCACTTATGTAATACTCAGGATGGATCCTAGCAATTTAATTAACATAGTATTTATTGCACACCTACTGCTTGTCAGTCTTCTATTCAAAAGCTTCCCACTGCACTTCGGATATAGTCTAATCTCTTCAACGTGTCCTATGTGATCTGGCTCCCCCTGGCTTCTCCAGCCTCATCTCTCATCATCTCCCACTCACACGCATGGCTGTCACATGCACCAGCGCACAGAGTGTTTTCCCACGCTTAACACAGGCTCTGCCCTCTGTCTAGAAGTTTCTCCCCCCATTCTTTGCCAGGCTAGTTCTTACTTCTCCTTCTAAGTTCATCGTAGTTTCAGGTCCTCCAGGAAGCCTGTCTCACTCTCTCTCTAAAACCAAACTACATCCTTAAAGACCTGGTTCTTTTTCTACAAGACACTGCCTGCAGTTTGTCATGACATAGTTGTTGTTGGACTGGGTGCTTTCTCACTCTGCTAGAAGCCCTGTGAAGGCAGAGGCTGTGCATACTCTACCCTGTCACAATGTCTGGCACATTGTAGGAACTCAGGGACTATCTGTTTAATGAAGGAATGAATGTATAAATGGATAAGTGAATGTTTGACATTATGCAGAAAAATTATGGAAGATGTATAAGGGTAGACATGATTTTGGCCTTCCTGGAGCTTACATTTTTGTTGGGTAAAAAACATGTCCAACTCAAAGCAGTAATATAAACTGCAAAATGGGGAGGGGCCAAGATGGCAGACTAGAAAGACCCTGAGCTTACCTCCTCTCACAAGCACACCAAAATCACAACGATCTGCAGAACAGCCATCGATGAAAAAGACTGGAACCTACCAGAAAAGACATTCTGTAACTGAAGACATATAGAAGGAACCACAATGAGTAGGAGGGACAGACTTGCAATATAATCAAATCACATACCCCTGAGCGGGTGACCCAAAACCTGGAGAATAATTATATTGCAGAAGTTCTCCCAAAGGAGTGAGGGTTCTGAGCCCTACATTGGGCTCACCAGCCTGGGGGTCCTGCAACAGGAAGACGATCCCCCAGAGCATTTGGCTTTGAAGGCCAGTGGGGCTTAATTTCGGGAGCCCCACAGGACAGGGGAAAATAGAGATGTCACTCTTAAACGGTGCAAACAAAATCTCATACACAATGCCCAGGGCAAAAGCAGTAATTTGATAAGAACCTGGGCCAGACCTACCTGCTGGTCTTGGAGAGCCTCTCAAAGAGGTAGGTGGTAAACGGATCAGTGAGCTGGAAGACAGAGTAGTGGAAATCACTGACGCTAAACAAAAGAAGAAAAGAGAAAAAAAAAGAGGACAGTATAAGAGCCCTCTGGTACAACATCAAGCACACTAATATTTACATTGTAGGGGTCCCAGAAGGATAAGAGCAGGAGAAAGGGCCTGAGAAAATATCTGAGACATAATAGCTGAAAACTTCCCTAACCTGGAGAAAGAAACAGTCACTCTAGTCCAGGAAGCGCAGAGAGTCCAATACAGGATTAACCCAAAGAGGAACATACCAAGACACATTGTAATTAAAATGACAAAAATTAAGGATATAGAGAGAATATTAAAAGCAGTGAGGGAAAAGCAGCATATAACATACAAGGGAACTCCCATAAAGCTATCAGCTGATTTTTCAGCAGAAACTGCAGGCCAGAAGGGAGCCGCGTGATATATTTAAAGTGATGAAAGGGAAAAACCTACAAGCAAGAATACTCCACCCATCAAGGTTCTTGTTCACATTTGATGGAGAAATCAAAATCTCTACAGACAAGCAAAAGCTAAAAAGAGTTCAGCACAACCAAACCAGCTTTACAACAAATGTTAGAGGAACTTCTCTAGGCAAAAAAGAAAAGGCCACAACAAGAAACAAGAAAATTATGAAATGAAAAAGCTCACCGGTAAAGGCAAACAAGCAGTAAAGGTAGGAAATCATCCACACACAAAGCTAGTAGGGAGGTTACAAAGCAAAAGTAAAACCATCTCTATCCACAATAAGCAGTTAAGGGATACACAAAACAATTAGGTGTAAAACATGACATCAAAAACAGTAATCATAAGGGGAGGAGAGTACAAATAGAGACTAGTTAAAATGCATTTGAGATTAAGAGATCAGCAACTTAAAACAGTCATGTATATATATAGACTGCTGTATAAATACCTAATGGTAACCATAAACCAAAAATCTACAACAGATATACACACAAAAAGGAATGCAAACATAACACTAAAGATAGTCATCAAATCACATTAGAAGAGAACAAAAGAAGAAAAAAGGGGAGAAAAGGGCCTATAAAAACAAATCCAAAACAGTTAACAAAATGGCAGTAAGAACATACATATCAATAATTACCTTAAATGTAAACGGACTAAATGCTCCAACCTAAAGACACAGAGTGGCTGAATGGATACAAAAACAAGACCTGTATATATGCTGTCTACAAGAGACTCACTTTAGATCTAGAGACACATACAGACCAAAAGTGAGGGTTTGGAAAAAGGTATTCCATGCAAGTGGAAATCAAAAGAAAGCCAGAGTAGCAATACTTAACATTAGACAAAATAAGACTTTAAAATACTGTTACAAGAGACAAAGAAGGACACTATATAATGATCAAGGGATCAATCCAAGAAGATGACATAACAATTGTAAATATATATGCACCCAACATAGGAGCACCTCAATATATGAGGTAAATATTAACAAACATAAAACAAGAAATTGACAGTAACACAGTAATAGTAGGGGACTTTAATATACCCCATTCACATCAATGGACAGATCAGACAGAAAATCAATAAGGAAACACTGACCTTAAGTGACACATTAGACCAAATAGATTTAATTTATATATAGAGAGCATTCCATCCAAAAGCAGCAAAACACACGTTTTTTTCAAAGTATACCTGGAACATTCTCCAGGATATATCACACGCTAGGCCACAAAACAAGCCTCGGTAAATTTAAGAAAATTGAAATCAAGTATCTTTTCCGACCACCATGCTATGAGACTAGAAATCAGCTGCAAGAAAAAAACTGCAAAAAACACAAGCCTGTGAAGGCTAACAGCTAAACAACCAATGGATCACTGAAGAAATCAAAGAGGAAATCAAAAAATACCTACGGACAAATGAAAATGAAAACACAACAATCCAAAACCTATGGGACACAGCAAAAGCAGTTCTAAGAGGGAAGTTTAGTGATACAGGCTCACCTCAGGAAACAAGAAAAATCTCAAACAACCTAAACCTTATGCCTAAAGCAACTAAAGAAAGAAGAAACAAAACCCAAAGTTAGTAGAAGGAAAGAAATCATAAAGATCAGAGCAGAAATAAATGAAATAGAGACTAAAAGCACAATAGAAAAGATCAATGAAACTAAAAGCTGGTTCTTTGATAAACCTTTAGCCAGACTCATCAGGAAAGAAAAAAGGGGAGAGGGCCCAAATCAATAAAATCAGAAGTGAGAAAGAAGTTACAGCTGACACCACAGAAATACAGAGGCTCATAGGAGACTACTACAAGCAACCATCTGCCAATAAAATGGACAACCTGGAAGAAATGGACAAATTTTTAGAAAGGTATAATCTCCCAAGACTGAAGCAGGAAGAAATAGAAAATATGAACAGACCAATTACCAGTAATGAAATTGAATCAGTAATTCGAAAACTCCCAACAAACAAAAGTCCAGGACTAGACGGCTTCACAGGTGAATTCTACCAAATATTTAGAGAAGAGTTAACCCCTATCCTTCTGAAACTATTCCAAAAAATTGCAGAGGAAGGAACAGTTCCAAACTCATTCTCTGAAGCCAGCATCACCCCGATACCAAAACCAGACAAAGATATCACACAAAAAAAGAAAATTACAGTCCAGTATCACTAATGAACATACATGCAAAAAGCCTCAACAAAATACTATCAAACCAAATCCAACAATACATTAAAAGGGATCATACGCCATGATCAAGTGGGATTTATCCCAGGGATGGAAGGATTTTTCAGTATCTTCAAATCAATCAATGTGATATACCACACCAACAAATTAAAGAATAAAAAAAAATGTTCATCTCAACAGATACAGAAAAAGCTTTTGACAAAATTCAACATCCATTTACAATAGAAACTCTCCAGAAGGTGGGCACAGAGGGAACATAACTCAACATAATAAAGGCCATATATGACAAACCCACAGCTAACATTATACTCAAGGATGAAAAGCTAAAGAAATCTCTAAGATCAGGAACAAGATAAGGATGTCCACTCTTGCCGTTTTTATTCAACACGGTATTGAGAGTCCTAGCCACAGCAATCAGACAAAAAAAAGAAAGAAAATGAATCCAAATTGGAAAGAAGTAAAATTGTCACTGTTTGCAGATGACGTGATACTATACAAAGAAGATCCTAAAGATGCCACCAGAATACTAGAGCTCATCAATGAATTCAGTAAAGTTGCAGGATCCAAAATTAATATGCTGGAATTTGTTGCATTTCTATACACTAACAATGAACTTTCAGAAAGAGAAAGTAAAGAAACAATCCCACTTACCATTGCATCAAAAAGAAAAAAACACCTAGGAATAAACTTACCTAAGGAGGCAAAAGACCTGTATTTGGAAAACCTTAAGACACTGATGAAAGAAATTGAAGACAACACAAACAGATGGAGAGATTTACCGTGTTGTTGGATTGGCTGAATCAGTATTGTTAAAATGACCATACTTCCTAAGGCAATCAACATATTCAGTGCAATCCCTATCAAAATACCAGTGGCATTTTTCAAGGAGCTAGAACAAATAATTTTAAAATGTATAATGGAAACAAAAGGCCCCCAAATAGCCAAAGCAATTTTGAGAACGAACTGAGCTGGAGGCATCACACTCCCTGACGTCGGACTATACTATTGTACAAAGCTACAGTAATCAAAGCATTATGGTACTGGCACACAAACAGACACATACATCAATGGAATAGGATGGAGACCCCGGAAATAAACCCATGCACCTACAGTCATTCTATGACAAAGGAGGCAAGAATATGTAATGGAGAAAAGATAGACTCTTCAATAAGTGGTGCTGGGAAAACTGGAGAGCTACCCATAAAAAAATCAAATTAGAACATTCTCTAACACCATATACAAAAATAAACGCAAAATGGATTAAAGACCTAAATATAATACTGGATAGTATAAAACCCCTAGAGGAAAACATAGGCAGAACACTCTGACATAAATCACAGCAATATTTTTTTGGATCCATCTCCTAAAATAAAGGAAATAAAAGCAAAAATAAATGGACCTAATTAAACGTAAAAGCTTTTGCAAAACAAAAGAAATCATCAGCAAAACGAAAGGGCAATCTACTGAATGGAAGAAAATGTTTGCAAATGATATGACTGATAAGAGATTAATATACAACACATAAAAACAGCTTGAATAGCACAACACAAAAAACATACAACCTGATTTAAAAATGGGCAGAAGAACTGAACAGACATTTTTACAAAGAGGAAGTGCAGATGGCCAACAGGCACCTGAAAAGATGTTCAACATCACTAACCATCAGAGAAATGCAAATTAAAACCACAATGGGATATCACATCACACCTGTCAGAATGGCTATTATCAAAAAGAAGACAAAAAAGAAATGTTGACGAGGATGTGGAGAAAAGGGAACCCTTGTGCACTGTTGGTGGGAACGTAAATTGGTGCAGCCACTGTGGAACACAGTATGGAGGTTTTTCAAAAAACTAAAAATAGAACTACCATATGACCCAGCAATTCCACTCCTGGGTATATGTCCCAAAGAACCAAAAACAGTGATTCAAAAAGGTACGTGCACCCCAATGTTCATAGCAGCATTATTTACAATTGCCAAGATATGGAAGCAACCTAAGTGTCCATCAACAGATGAATGGATAAAGAAGACGTGATGTGTGTGTGTGTGTGTATGTATGTATGTATACACACACACACACACACATACGATGAAATACTACTCAGCCATACAAAAAAATGAAATTTTGCCATTTGCAGCAACATGGTTGGACTTGGAGGGCATTATGCTTGGTGAAATAAGTCAGAGAAAGACAAATACTGTATGATATCACTTACATGTGGAATCTAAAAAATACAACAAACTAGTGAATATAACAAAAAGGAAGCAGATGCACAGATATAGAGAACTAGTGGTTACCAGTGGGGAGACTGGGGAGGGTTAACATATAGGGGAGGGGGAGTAGGAAGTAGAGACTATTGGCTGTAAGATAGGCCCAAGGATGTATGGTACAACACGGGGAATACAGCCAATGTTTTGTAATCACTGTAAATGGAAAGTAACCTTTAAAAGTTGTACTAAAACTTTTTTAGAAAATTAAAAGTTAGGGGCTTCCCTGGTGGTGCGGTGGTTTGGAGTCCGCCTGCCGATGCAGGGGACACGGGTTCGTGCCCCGGTCCAGGAAGATCCCACATGCCGCAGAGCGGCTGGGCCCGTAAGCCATGGCCGCTGAGCCTGCGCGTCCGGAACCTGTGCTCCGCAACAGGAGAGGCCGCGGCAGTGAGAGGCCTGCGTACCGCAAAAAAAAAACAAAAATTAAAAGCTAAGAAATGTGCAAAACAGTGTGTAATCATCTAAAAGCCACAGGCAATGCCTGATTCAGAGGAAGGAAGCATGAACATGTGTAGGAGTGGTGGGAGGTTTCACGGAGGGTAGGAACCCATGCTAGGCTTTAGGGGTACTGTGGCCAGCAGATATGCCATTGGTACTTCTCTGAACCCTTTAGAAACACTTTCACACTTGATTCCAACAATAGTCCTTTAGGGTAGGAGTTATTACAGTTGACTCTTGAACATGGGTTTGAAATACGTGGGTCCACTTATACTCCAATTTTTCCAATAAATACTACAGCATTACAGTACTACAGTGATCCAAGGTTGGTTGAATCCACAGATGTGGAACCGAGGATGCAGAGGGCCGACTATAAGTTATGCTCAGATTTTCAACTGCGCAGAGGGTTGGTGCCCTTCACCCCTGCATTGTCTAAAGGTCAACTGTATTCCTGTTTTCTAGAAGGAAAAAGAAGGCTGAGAGAGAGAAAGCAAATTGGCAAAAGTCATCCAAGTGTCAGAACCAGGATTTGAACCCATACCTATTATGCTCTAACATCTGTGCTCTTAAAACAACCACACCCTACTTTCCTCCAAAATAAGAGAAGCATTTACAGTGTGGTACCATATACTTCAGGCACTGAGCGAGTGTAGGTAGCATAGTGGGTATAAATGCTGAGGCTCTGATTTTCAGATCTGACATATAAGTGGTAAATAAATGGTAGCCAATAAAGTTACCCTAATTATTGGTCTTGCTGCCCCCTTCTCTCTCTCGCTCTGTCACACACACACACCCCATGCTCATCCCTACCACTCTGGTTCTGTTGGTTCAAATCCTAGCTCTGCCACTCGGAAGCATTATGACTTGGGGTGAGTCACTTTATTTCCTGGCACCTCAGATTCCTCACTGATGAAACAGTGATCACACTGCTTACCTCTCAGTATCACTGTGAGGGTTAAATAAGAGTCTGACACAACACGTGGCTCATATTGCTGTGGTAACACATTTATTTTGAAAGGTTCTTTATTCATGATGTCCTTTGAGAGAACCAGAGATGCCCTACTGAGGGATACTAAACATCAGTGCACTTTCTTGGCAGAGTGTGTGGTACAGGATTTCCTGACCCTCACATCTTGCTTATTCCTCAGTCCTGTCACATGAGATGATGGGTAACCGCCCTGAAAAGCCGTGGGGAAAAAGCACGGCTGAAGTGGGATTTTGGTTTAGCTTTTACCGACTATATGATAACGCTTAATCCCATGTTGTTAGAAACTTTAGAAGCCAAGTTGGATGCTGAGAACATTTTCCTCACTTTTGAAAGGGGGTTCCTTGCTGGGGAAGGATGTCCCTGCCTATTGTTCAGGGCCCTGAGATAAAGAATAGCTAGAACAGTGTCCTCTGATTTTACGTAGTTTTTTGACAATTAACATTATATATTATTCGCCTTGCATTGTGCTTTGGGAAATTATTCCTGGTTAAACGTTTAATTTCAAAATAGTATTTTAATAGATTATTTTCCTTTCCTTATTTAGGCCACAGCTTTGAAACGCAGCAAAGGAATTCTAGGTTTCTGAAACAGTATCATGGGTCCTATTTCCTTTTTGGTAAAGCTCTTGGCACTGCTTTAGTTTATATCCTTGTTTAGAAATTCAGGAATCATTAAAATGTGATCCTCTTTGAGCTTGGGAATTAGGAAGTCACTAAGGTAATTATCTGCATATCGGTGTTTAAATGTATAATTACAGAGGAGTCAGACTACAAGTGTGTAATAAGGGTAATTAGTACCTTGCTTGAGTTAATGGATTAAAACTGTGATGTTTGGTCCTAACATAATTGGAACTCTGTCATCTGTGAAGGTCACACCTGTTTTCTTATATATATAATGTAAGGAAACTGTAGCAAAGAATGTACTGAAGCGTCCAGAATTAATTGCAGTGGGAGATTTATAGAATTATATGATTTATAGACTTTTGAATTATAGGAAGTTAAGTACCTACTGTTGCACTATGAATGTGGAAGTAGTGGTTTGAAACACTTAAAACATTTTGCCTAGTAGAGGTCTTTTTCACCTGCTTTAAATTACCAGGTTAAAAAAAAAAATGTCTTTCTACTTGCTCATTTAAGTGCTCCGAATGTTTATTTCCTTAGGAAGGCAAACTTTAACTGGTCTCATGTTGACCCATCTTAAGTTTCAAAATAGAATATTCATTGGTGGGTTTACCATGATACCTTGTTGAATTTACCTAGCACTTACGTTTCTCAGAGTGAAAGTGCTCTTTTGTTAAATAACAGATCATGTGTTACTATTATTTGACAGGGTTGTAATTGGAATGTCAACACCTGACCCAAGGTGGGGATGTTGGGTGTCCTGTGTTATATTACATTAAGACTGGAGGCCTAAGTCCTGGGGCTGAAAGAATAGTTTCCGTGGAGCTTCAGTCATGTGCTGTGTCCTCTTGTCATCTTATTTCACTGCCACTTTTGGAATCGGTCTCATTCCCTGTGTCTGAGAGTAACTAGTGCATTTCTCACACAGGCCTTAGAGCATCAGGGTGAAGAGGGAGTGTTCTGGTGCAGACAAACCTGGCTCCTCCTTGTCTGCGTCACCCTTATTTACAAAAATGCGGGTCATAATTGTACTTTCTTGAGGGGTTGTTCTGGTCATTAATTCTGACTGTGGCCCAGAAACCATTTAGGACTAAGTCTCAATAAATAATAACTGTTACCCATAGAGGCAAGTCCCAGATTTAATATTTTATTTGCAAACTTCTTGTATATATGCCAGGCCCAGGAGATGAAGTCCTCTGTTACCCAGTTTTTGAATACCTACATAGTGATCACCTACATGCATGGTCTCTTTCCTTGACATATTAAGGTCAACAAAGTATAAACAAAGAAATTACCAGTGCTACTAGGGCCCTCAGCTACCTGGGTTTTTCAAGACCTCCCATAGCATTCATTGGGCACTTAATCATAGCTCAAGCCAGTATGTCTGATGATCGTACTGTCGCTGCTAAGTTGTTGTTACATCCATGTAGGTAGTACCCTGCCCTTATTCCTACTCCTCTGCCTTCCTCAGGCCAGCTGGGACATAGTAGTTAGTGAGTGAACCTCATTAAGTGCCTAATTCTGCACTGTCCCTTGCCACAGTGGAGTGCGAGTGAATGAAACTATTACCTTTCACCCTTCCAAAAGAGTGTATTTCAGAAAAAGTATAGTAGAGACTGTACAATTTAAGCTGTGTGCTCTGTGGTGTAAGGATTTGTTAATAGAAAATATTAATTTACACACATCTGCTAAAGTGAAACAGATATAAATAAATAAGCTAAATTCTGTTACCTCTCACATCCCCCTCAAGCTCTCCTTTGGAAAGATTGATTTCCAGATTCAAAAGGTATTTTCAAAATGTCTCTGTTCCTCCCGTCACAGCCTGCGGTGTACATTAGAATAAAGAACCGAGCCCAGGATGAGTATCTGACAGTCACCGGAAATGTAGCTGACACAAGGGCAACATCTGTGTGCATTTCTCCCTACAGTGGGAAGAATACTCAGATCTGGCACTACTGTCGAGGACTCTTTAAATCCAAGGTAACCAACCCCACTGATAGTATACCCCGCTTTTCGGTCTTTGGTCTTTTTCGTTTGGAAAGCAGAATCTTGCCAAATCAAATGGCATGATAAAATAATGCAATTTCCTATCAACAGTTTTTTGCATAATTATAAGAACATTGACATATATATTACTGAAGCATCTAGGTGAAATGGGCTTAGAAACTAGATTTTCTACATCAAAAAATTCTCTATTTTAAGTAAAAAGTAAGATTAACACATACTATGGATATTCCTAAATGGTTTTTTTAAACCAGTGATAAGTCACTGTACCCAAATGGACAACGTGCTTTTGTGAGACGTTCCTTACGCTCTGTGGCCCAGATTAATTTAGCTGTCTTTGTGATTCCAAACATGTTGAAGCCTCCTCATCTTCAAAATATACGATGAAGGTAGAAGAAAGCTGCTGTTTTTTGGAGGAAGCTTAGAAAATACAATTTAGGTTTCTTTGTTTTTCTGCAACCCTTCCATTATGTTTGATACTGTGGGGAATAAGACACCAGTTTTATTATATCACCAGTGGATTATCGACCATTTTCTCATGCTTCAACAAAAATGAAAAGCACTTAAAAGTAATTATTGTCTGGGTATCTTTCACATCACCCAATTTTTTGGGGGTTTTGTTTTGCGGTGTGTGGGCCTCTCACTGTTGTGGCCTCTCCCGTTGCGGAGCACAGGCTCCGGACGCGCAGGCTCAGCGGCCATGGCTCACGGGCTCAGCCGCTCCGCGGCATGTGGGATCCTCCCGGACCAGGGCACGAACCCGTGTCCCCTGCATCGGCAGGCGGACTCTCAACCACTGTGCCACCGGGGAAGCCCACCCAATGTTTTTGTAAGAAAAACAGGCTCGACCTTACACATTTAAGCTAACAGGGATTCAACATTTAATTGTAATTCAACAAACCTTTGACCATCTATTGTCAGATCCAGACCATCCTTTTAAAAACAAGTACCTCTAGTTCAGTACGTTTATTTCCATACCATCTCCTTCCTTCAGCCATAAGGAAGACTTAAAAAGTTGACTGAATTTATAATTATGCTAGTTTTCTTTTGAGATTAGACAGTCATGTCTCTGATCTGTTCACATGAAAGAAAAGGGGCCCAATCCAATTGATTTTAGTAAACACAGTACTGCCAATTTATTTCTTGACCCTTTTAGGCCAGTGACACATGTCTCGATGTGATTGGTGGTCGAGACATACCTGGAGCTAAAGTTGCCCTATGGACTGAACATGGGCAGTTCAGGCAGAAGTGGAGACTGAACAAAAATGGGACCATCAGCTCCTACCTCAGTGACCAACTTGTCCTTGATGTTAAAGGTAGGCCTGTGGTGAAACCCAGTGTTCTGTGTCCTTGGATATTCCTTTTAAATTCCAAGCCTCCTCCTCCTTATGGGTAAAAGAAGTCCTTATGCATAAGGGAAATATTAAATCATTTTAAATTATGCTTGAAAAAGTCGAGATATGCCATTTTAACAAAACAATTAGCTATATACGGATCAAGAAAAAGCCTAAGGACCAAGCCTACAAAGGTTTTTGTTTATCAGTACAGCTGTAAAATTTTCATTTTCTACATGATCTTTGAGAACATTTCTAAATTTGAAGCATCATCAACCATAAGATGTCATCCATTTCCTAAAGAAATATTTCTCACTTTCTGTTGTGCATTGCTGTGGTCCTTAAAATGTATGGTCCTTTAAATTTATCATTTAAACTTGTTTTTGAGTCCAGCCAAGGTCAGGGCCAATATTATTCAGTGCTGTCGCTTTAATTGAGTTAGTCATAGCCACTCTTGGTGTAGAAACTAAAACCCAGTACCTGCCGCTGAGCTAGAGCACTCTCAGAGCACTGTGTTAAGAACCCCATTGTCAGGGCACACCGCTTATGTAAACATCTATTACACCACTTAGCTTTTCAGTCAGTCGTAATGTCTGATTTGAGGTGAAGAATAGCTACGCCCGTTTAACCTCAGTTTCCCATTTCAGACCGCTTTACAAATGACATATTAATCTACCCCAACAGTGAGTGGGCTGAGCAGAAGCCTGTGAAAACTGTGAAATTGCTAAGCACCTGTGTGAACAAATAGTCTTTCCTTTTGGGATTTCTGTTTTAGGAGGAAATTATTATGACAAAACTCATGTAATTGTAAATGAGCCCCTGGAGGGAGAAGAAACACAGAAATGGGACATTGAAATATTGTGAGAGAATCTGCAGCATCCCTGAGAGACAGCAAAGGGAGAAGGACCCTCATGCCCCGTGAAAAGGAAGCTACCTGTCCTCATGCTTCTGGGATCACTGAGCAGAATGAACTTCTTCCCCAACCTTGAAGACTATTGTTGTTAACCATGGAGAAGCTCAAAATATTCTTGCCAGTCATCCAGTGTTCCTATGAAGAATGCGTTAACGATTTCTGGGAAAGGTTCTACTCCTGCTTGATCTCCAGCTTCGGTGAGCAAGCTTCTTGAAGTCTCTTCTCTCTCCTTCCCACCAAACACGAATCCTATCCCTGATAGCCATTATAGGACGCTGTCATCCTGTGTTAATTAATCTCCTAGTAGATGTGTGTGAATGCAAGGCACAGAGAAGCAGAGTCCTATAGGTCAAGTCATACTTTTAAAAGGATGAATAATATTTTTAGCAATATCTGAAAACATATTTAATAAACCTTACTATTAAGCTGCTGTATTAGATAAACATTAAAGGTTCCCTATTGAAGCTTTTATAACTGAAGCATCGTAAGTATTCACACTTGTAACTGACCCCAGGGAGGGGACCTCAGCTTTGTAAGGAAAAGGCTCAAGTACAGGAGTGTTTTCTGTGGCTGTTCTTTGCTCGGTCCTTCAAACTAAAAAAGCACAAGTAGCCTGCGGCTGTCCTTGCACTCTAAGTATTAACAGAGACACCCTTCTGGGTGACAAGACTGTAAGTAACCAGGGCTTACCTATCCTGGTTCTGAGACCTCACCTGATCTACCTTCAAGAAGTGTTTATAAAGACTCTGTCACCTACGTGTAAGAATAGTCAAATTTTTCTTCGCCTGAAGTAAGGGGAAATTTCAGATGTTCAAATTAAGACCAAGTAGTATTTGATCCTTGACTATACCACTTTACTTTACAAAATGTGACGAAGACTCAGTTTTTCACTCCCATTTTAAATAACTTTCATTCAAGCAAAATCAGGCAGGTTAATGTCTTTGACTTAGTTTCAGGTAATCATTACCACCATCACGATACAATTCTCAAGCATTTTTCCCTCCTGAGCTGGTCTTAAACTTGCATTGAGACAACTGTTCTCTTCAGCCCCAACTTTTGCCGGAAAGCAGAGAAAGGTCTGCTCTACTTTCATATACAGAGAGACTAAAGTCTCCAATGCTATTTTTAAAAATACCAACCTGTATGCACGTTAGAATGTTAACAGTGAACTGTTTAAACTCAGAGACCCACTATTTTGAGTATTTTTTATAGAGACTTGGTCTTTCCATGTAAATATTATTGTGTTTTCTTTTCCTTCCCTTCAAGCTCAGGCTCTTGTGTCATCTTTCAAGCAACATCTGTAAAACTATTTTATGCCCACAGATGTGAGTGCCTGTTAGTGTGGCAGTATTATTTAATGAAATTGATGTTATAGGGTAACTTTATTTTAAGGGGAGGCCTTGTGTGTACAAAGGTAGGTATGTATATTTTCACTGTAAAAAACCAAGTTAAAAAATTCTTCATGTTAATTGTTTAAAATTTTTCTAGAGCCAGTGAGGCTCTTCAAAGAAGTTGTTTCTTCCAAAGAACAAAGACAAAGCCAGGTAACAACATGTAAATTTAAATGATACATTTATTGAGCTGTGCCTTTTCTACCACACTGGATTAAATAAACTTGTCAAGAAGCACGGTTTTTGTCACCTTCTGGGACATTTAGTAATTTGCTGTTCTTTCTTCTATGTACCTCTGTTAGTACACATGGCCAACTGGTCACCTGTAACAGGTAGGTCTCATGTTATGTTATTAGATACACAGGTAAGGAAAGTTACATTCACTATGTCCTTGGTTCAAAGCAACAGGGGCTCCCTAGCATGTAAATCTTTGCAGAATCAAGTGTCTACTATTTTATATATACATATTTAAAAAGAAGCAAAGGCACTAGACTACTTGGATTAAACATTCTGTCCAGAGGGATAATACCAGGCTTTGCTTTTCCTCATCTGTAGTAAGTTTCAGGTCCTTGACAGAAATAGCTGAACTGTTCCAAATTTGCTTCAGTGCATCGATATGTGATAAAGGAAAGCGAAGTCCATGAGACTGAAAAAAGATAAACTATTTAGTCACTTGGGTGGCATTTTCCGTAATTTCTCAATACATCATTATTGATATCCTTCACAAGTATGAAACTTGTTTCAGATAAGCTACTTACAAACTATCATTAGATAACTTACGAAAGTTGCTAATTCCCATATGAAAACTCAGACTTCATGAAAGGTATTCTATTTTATAGAGTAAGAAACATTAATCCTTTGAGAGTTACACCTTTCCCACAAGGCCACAGGTCCTAGTATCTTTTAAAGTGGGTACATATATCACAGAAATGTCTGACTTAATCATCCCTGTGCAAGGGCTGTCAATTTGTGAAATGTGAAGTCCACACTGCAGTCATAAAAAAGGTCATTACCCATAAATCAAAGGTAACAGATTCTTCCCAGCCACCCAAATCGCAGGAAAGACATGCATTTTAGGTTGGAACAAACCTCTGTTTCCTCATTTCCCATCATGTGTGTGTCTCTCCTATTCTTTAAGGAATGATAGATGTAAACCATCTTTTCTCGAGTTTCATCCTTAAAAAAAAAACACAGCAAGTCGTCAACACCAAAATATTGAGCACTTCAATACTAGGAGGGTTTTCCAATAACAAAGGTCAACACCAAGAAAAATCTTAATGCCTCAGTGCTTAAGTGAAATTTATTGAACACTAAAGAATCCTTCTGGCAAAAAAATTATGAGATACAGATAAATATAGATATATACACAGCAATGTAGAATGAACGTATTTCATTATAGTGCTCACAGATTACTATTTGTATGCAGCAAATTTTAAAAAGATAACAGCATCTTCAGAAACGACCTAATGAAAAAGCAACCATTTATATATCAACTTACCAATGAAACATTCAAGTTTTTCGTTTCATCATACCTGCACTATCTTTTTGCATCAGAAAAATTTGGCATTCCTAGGTATACATAAATGGACAATTTATGAACACCACAGAGTAAATATTAATTCCTAAGAAATACCAGCTATGTGATCTATAAAAACTTCTATTCCACGTATAGTAAAGTAGGCTCCCGAATGGTCTCGACTTCCCTTCCCTCTCCACCCGCCTTAACACAGTGCAGTTTATTATCGCTTCCAGAACCCTTAGAAATTCCTTGTCACCTCTCACTCAGATAAGGACCAAAAGCCTTAGCCTGAAATAGAATGCCTCAAACTGATTGATTGGTTATCAATCAGAATAACTAGGATTTTCTTTTTTTAAATGGGGATGTGGGAGTATATACTTTTTAGGTTTTATATGTATGTTATAAACCAGTCTTCTCCAGGTCTGGCCCTGATGGCTGGAAAAATACGGTTATGGAGACATCTAGGTGCCCCCCGACTCTCATCCCCTCCAGACATTCATTGGACACCTCCCAAGAAAGCTGGAACAGGGTGAAGCCACAGGGCATGGGAGAGTTCCCAAGGGCTTTAGGGTTGTGTGGGGTGCTTTCAAAATAAGTGCAGAGGCTCCACACCAGACGAAGCCCAGGAACTTGTAAGTTCTAAAAATTTTCCAGTTGACTGTAATCTGCCAGTTTGGGGAACCACTGGGCTAGGTGGCAAGGGCATGGAATGTAGATTCTCCTCTCCATCATCTACAGAATAGAGATTTTTTGAGAAGAACCATCAACAAAACCATACGTAAAGGCAGGTCTGCGCCGTATACAGGATGGGAGAGGGACTGAGACAGGGAGACGCATGCACAGGGTCTGCGGCCGTCTAAGCAAAGGCAACCTGGCCTGAATTAGGAGACCGAGAACAGACATTTAATTACTACTTAGAGAAAAGGAGGAGGGATCGGTGGGGCCGAAGACAAGCCCTCAAATGCCCAACAGGCAGGAAACCTTGGAACCGTAACAGTGAGATCTGGGCATGATCTGATCTAAAGAGATGGCATTAAGCTGTGAGGAGGTGGATGCCCAAAGGAGGAGGGCAGGGCCATTTGTCAGTCTGATAACCTGGGGCCTGTGATGGAAATGCCCTGAGAAGAACGGAACCCCCTTCCCCTCTGGATACTCACGGATGGGTCCTGATCGGGTCCTACAGTGAGGACAACGTGGTCTCTAAATTGCAGCCTCACAGTGCTGTCCAACCCCGGTAACTGTCCACCTGGAAAACCCAGAGACAGGGAAAGCCATCTTTCAGAGAGGAAAGCAGCAGGCTCAAACTTGCCTGCAGGAGCAACTATTTAGGAAGTACACTTAGTAACAATTTGCAGGTGAATCCAAATGTGGGGTGCCCTCTCCAGCTCAAGTATTCACTCTCCCTGACATTTACGGTGATCTGAAAAGTGTAGCTTACATCTTGATGGAACTCATACTGAAGACACACATACAGACTTCTGTTGTTATTTATCTAACTGTAAGTTCATTTAAATAGTTGTCACCAGTACCCGGGGAGCACATACTATCACAGTACAGACAGGGCCACCATGCCTTCTGCACAGAATGCTCTCACATCTCCAGTTTCTATCCCCTGCTTGCTCCACATGTGGACTCTGAAAGGACTTCCAGAGCTCAAAGTGCACCACCCCTCCAATTACTAGTTCCATGACCATGGCAAATTATTCAGCCTGTGTAGGTCAAGTGCAGTGTCATAAAAAAGCCACCTAATAAAGTCCACAGAAAAAACTACTCTTTCCTAGATTGGATTTAACTTAGTGAAAAAGCAGCCACTACAATCAGACCAGCCTTACAGGGTCTTCTGGCTGGAGAAAGAGTTGAGAGAGCATAACTTTATTGACTACAAGGACTAAGGCAAGGAAAACTCTGGATAACATATCCTGGGCCATAAGCTGATACTCAGAACACTGTTCTGCTAAAGATTAAAATATGTGCTGGGAAAACATGTGCTATTTTGAGTAGATGCTATCAAAAACAAATTTTAAACTCCCCCCACCCCCGAGACTATAATAAAAATGTACATAGAATCAGTGTTAGAAGGGACCTTGTAGAGTGTGTATCTCAGTGGTTCTCCACTGGTGATAAGGCTTTTATGAAAATTAGTGAAAATGAAACTCTCCCTGTACCTGACTAAGAGAGAAGGAGCCTGAGAGCCAGCCTGGCACTCACGGCTGTGTCTCCATGTTCTCCAGCTGAACACAGGCCATTACACAGAACCCCGATATTAAGCAAGGCCACGCTGTGACTGAGAGAGATCGAGACAAAACCAAGACCACTTCATCATCAGGTCAGAACTCAGGCCAAACGTGCCCTATCCTGGCTGACCTGAGTGACTGCTGCTGCTGCTCTACCAACTGTCACCTTGGCTTCATTTCACTCCTCCTGCTACTGGCTAAGATTTACAGGAGACCCAATCCGAGAATCCCTCCTTTTTCCCGACAGCATTCAATCCCGAGCAAAGCCCTGCTTCCTTGAACCCTCCTGAAAATCACCTAACTCAAACCCAAATCCTATAAATCCTTTCCAACATCCTTTTACCGAGGTGCCTACAGCCCCCAGTGGCGTGCTCTCTTCCCTGTTACAAGTCAATAAACCCAGCTTTGTCCGACTACAGGAGTGTGGTGTGGTCTCTGCTCCAGAACACCGGTATCACCATCCACCCAGAAGTCTATCAGTGTCATCTGTACCTGACACCTGTCACAAAATAGTCACCTGGGACTTGGGAGAAGGTCTGATAATCTTGGGCATTCTGGTAGTTCCCCTGCTGATGGCAACATTTTACCCATCCCTGGGTTAATTCCAACAAGATTATTTCAATGTTCAAGTTCTTAAAACTTCCTGAAGATGATGAATTCCAGAGGGGCCCTAACCACACATACTCCTCACCCCAAATCACAGGGCTCTCATTCCCCATCAGGCTGCATGTCCTGTCCAACCTCACACTAAGGATAGACCCACATTAATCCTCAAATGCTTCATACATTCCATCAGCTCAAAGAGGTGCCCACCCAGAAAAGCTCAAAATATCCCACATTAGCCCCTGACCACCTAGAAGAAAAGAGCAAAGCTCTACCTGGTGTTGAAAGCTCTGCTCCATCTCCCACATAGTACGGTGGGAGTCTGTTCATAGCAAAATCCTTCTTCATGTCTGCTGAAAGCAGTTCTCTGGTGCCCTCCAGCCGGTCTGCAAGCATCCTCAGAAAGCCACTTAATTTTCTTGTTGCAGCGGCTGTGGTTTCCACCTGCTAGAAACACAGAAGTGAGTCCGGGCCCAGACTCCAGTGACCCTACTGCCCAGGTCCCAGTCTCTGGAGTAGTCCACTGACCACCATCACCCAGGGCAGACGCAGATCCATGTCACTCCCTTAAGAACAGTATCCCTTTATTTCCTCATAACCACTGTTCATCTTAAGCTGCCTACCGTTTGCAAAAAAACATCAATTTTCAGGATTTTGCCTGAAAAGAGGGATCCCTGGGAATATGGCACAGTCTCGGCTTTGCCTTTTGAAAAGCAAATCACTGTCTAAGGTGTCTGCTTCAGACCGCAAAAGCACCCTTTGCTCAACTCAGCACTAATGCACTCAACTTCTCAAAACTAGCCAACAGGGCCGCTGTTTCAAAGGTAAAACCAGGACGGACAGGAAAGCCAGGGAGCACACCAAGGCCAGGCTCTCCAGTGGGTCTGTCCTAACTAGTGATCTCACGTGTGCTCAGGCTACAGTTCCCAAGCCAGGTTAGTTATTCATTCAACCACTGATTCAGCCAGAGCTCCCAGTGCCTGCCACTGCCGCCATGAAGTACAGGAAGCGGGCCGTCTGCACAACACTGTTGGTCCTTTGGGCGGCATGCAATGTGCAGCACTCCATTCGTTCTGCAAACCACCGTGCCCGGGAGAAGACAAGCTTGGCTCACACGGGGAGGATTCTGGGGTCCCGAGGAGGGAACCACAGCTTCAGCTGGCCTGGGCCGTGGTTACCCCGCCTTTCCCACCTGCCTTTACTCCTTACCAGGAGCAGCTGCCGGGGTATGCCGGCCCGTAGCTCTACGTCTGCCTTTGCAGTATCAAACACGAGCCCTGGAATGGTGTCCAAAAGGAAATCTCCCCATGAACTGGAACGTGTACCAAGAAAAAAAAAAAAAAAAGAGTGAACACATAAGAAATGTGCATAGAACACTGATTACTAAAAGCCTAAAGCTACAAACTGTCACACCAATTCCCCTGCCCTGACGCCTTGAGTTCCACTAATTTCACGTCACTCAGCGTAAAGACTTACGGCCTTCATCAGTCAGTCTTCCCTTACTTCCCATCCCAGACACTCAGGTGCAAAGTTAAAGGTGGGAAGCTAGGCTTCCTTCATGATTTGTCTTAAATGTAAAGATACCAGAGAATTAATTACAGACTGTCATAAAGTAGGAAGTTTAAGGGACCAATTTTTTTTTTTTTTTTAATATTTTCAACTATATAACACAGAGACTTGAGGAGAGCTTTGCAGGAAACTTTAACCCTCAATCATTATAGGACCTAAAAAGATTTTTATGTGTAAAAAGTCCAAAAGCAACACATTTAGGGTAACAGCAAGATCCCCGGACTGTGTAATCATCTCAACAGTTAAACACTACATCTTCCTTGGTTCCCTGTAAAAATTCCTCAGCAAAATATCCAACATCAACAATTTCAAAACAGTTGATTTTGCAACTTGTTAAACCCTGGCAGTGGTTTTACTGGGGTAGGAGATAGAAGCTAGAGGCCAAAAATACCATCTCGGGACGAGCATCAGAGTTCAATTGCCTCTGCTTTCTCTGGGGCATTTAGAATCGCTCGCTCCTCAATGTGTGCCAGTGTGAGAAGCACACGCTGTGGGGCTGCTCTCTTTAAACACTTCTGAGCTGTTTAAAATTTTCCTCTGTGTCACCAGCAGATTTCAAATTGCTAGCTGCGTGCAAGATGGAAATTCACAGTATGACTTTTGCTTCTCACTCAGTAACAAAATTAACACTTTTATGCTTCCCTCCTGGAAAAGTGGCAAAAGAGGACAAAAGCCACATGAGAGACACTTCCCCCAAGACGTCCACTCCTCCGTGGTAGCCTCACCACTTGTGACATAATGCTACACCCAACCTCACACCTTTGACTGAACTTCGACCATAGAGACCTTTCAGCAGCCTGAAATAATATCGTCCTTTGAAGGGTCCCAGGTACAAGTCACGCAGCAGTAGCTCACAGAGGAGTTTAAGTGCAGTTAAATTGAGCTCTGTGTTCTTCTAGGAAAACGGATCTTGGGCCTTCCCAAAGTTTGGAAATAACACCTCTGGAGGGGTTCACTTTGGTAAAGCAGCCAAATCGACAGGCCACTGTCTCATACAGCTGGCCCTAAATGTTCCAACAATGCTACCCTTGAGAGGGGTTAGGAAAAGGCCCAAGTCCTCACTCTGCCACAGGCCTTAAGGAGCACCAGGACCAAAGCATAGGGACACCTCCGGGGAGCGATGGTCCTCGAGTTACATCTGTCCCGTTCTAGCACCGGCCCCATTGACAAAGGCCCAGGTCGGCATCCAGCTTAGATGCACGGGTCATGGTGCCTACCCACAGCCCCCAGCAGGCATCCTCTGTAACTCAGACCTCTCTTCCCCAGCCCTGCTGCCTGCAGAGGGGGTGGGTGGGACCAGGGAAGGCTACCAGTTCATCCTGGGGACTGGGAAACAGCGAGTCAGGCACTCAGTGGAAGCAAAAGCTAATAGGTTCAACGAGATCGAGGGAGGTCAGAGAAGTAACTGAGGATGGCTTGTGATGAGCCAATGTTGTGAGTAAACAGAAACCGAGGAAGGAAAACAAGGGAGCGAAAACTGATTACTAGGAAACCAAGAGAAATGAAAAAGAGGGAGCATTAGAGAAAGAGGGAGCAGCTGAGTAACCTCAACGGCGGGACACCAGAAGATGGACATTCATGGGGCCAAACTATCAATATGTGGCTGCCAGGGCCCAGAGCTGCTTCAGTCCAGAACGAACTTCTGGTTCAGCCTCCCTGCAGCCTGCCCTTCCCCAGTTCCTACGACCCACCCCCTCAGTCACCTTTGTTCTTCTTGAGCTGCCCTCAGAGACTGTTTCTCGCTATGCAAGGCACCTAACCAGTCACGGTGACAAGGGCATTTTACATAAAGGAAGCCCCAAACAAGCTTTAGCTTCTACTTGTGGGCAAAGAGAGCCTAACTTCAGGCCAGACTCCAGCTAGCTCCTCCTGTCTCTTAAACACAGGGGGTTCACTTCTCGCTGAAAAGCCAGATGGGGAGGCAGAAGAATGCTTACTCACTTGTTCTGCAAGATACGGCTTTGAAGTTAGGAGGCGACTGGCTGTCCGGCTGTCCCTCAGGCCGGGAATATCCTCTCCTACTCTGACCTCCTGACCCACCTCTACTTACTCATCCTGTAAATCTCCCTCAGCTTGGGTGTCAAGTCATTTCCAAAGCCTTCCCTGAGGCCCCGGCTTAGCTAAGTGCGTTCCTCTGTGCTCCCAGAGTCTCCTCTGCAAACCTATGATGGAATGTGTCACACTGTTTGGTAACTACATGCCTCTCTCCCCTCCTTCCACCACTTCCAGAGAGTAAGTTCTCTCAAAGCGCCTTCAGTCCAATGCCTACAATCTCAGCAATTAGCACAAGGTGTAGTGCTGCATGATGAATAAATTAATGACTGGCGTTTTTAATGGGACCTGGACTATTGAGGTCACTGCTACCAGGAAATGACTCACTGGGCACTGCTGCCCTGGCCCTGTCATGTGACGAGGCACTTGCTGAACGGGAACATGGTTTTAATTGGAATTGTTTTTAGCACGTGTGCTTTCAGGACTCACTGTTCCAGACTTCCTTTCTGACTTTAATTTCATGAACTGTAATAAAATGGAAGCCTTAAAATAGACCCAGAGGTTTCAATGGATAGAGTTTCTGTTTGGGGTGATGAAAATGTCTTGGGAACAGGTAGTGGTGATGGTTGCACACAGTGTGAATATAATTAATGTCAGTGAATTGGACACTTAATGGTTAAAATGGCACGTTCTATGTTATAAATATTTTACCACAATCAAAAAAAAATTTGAAGGGGGCGGGGGGAGGGGGAGAGAGAGAGAGAGAGAGAGAGAGAGAGAGAGAGTGATAGAGAGAAAGAGAGGGAGGGGGGGAGGGAGGGAGAGAGAGGCGGGGGATAGGGGTGTGGGAGAGAGACTACAAGCCCAGCCTGGCAACACGAACACACTGTCACACCCACAGCTATGCTTCTATCTTCCCAAACCATGGGAGCCTTTATTTGGGCAACTCCCAGCGTTCTGTGGAGTCAGGGTCATGACAGGCCAGGAGGAAGCCCAGACGAGTGAGTCAATGGCACAGGTAGGACGCTGAAGGAATAGGAAGTCAGCCGGAAACCCCGGGGCCAGGTAAGTAGGAGAGAAGCAGCTAACTCCCTCACGTCTCCTGAACATGCCGCTGTGGCCACAGCTCGGAGCTGTCGGGGACGCAAGGCTGCAGGTGAGTGCTCACCTGCTCTGGTAGGTGCTGATGGTCACGTGCGTGGAGTGGGCCAGCCCTGAGGGAGTGTCCGCCTGATGAACGGTTCCTCTGGGAAAGTACAGCAAGTCTCCCGGCTAAAGGGAAAAAAAAAGGGGGGAAAGGAGTTAGTAGGGAGGATATCTTCTCGTTCTTCTAGAAAGGCTGTGAGTTTCAGTTCTGCATTCTAGAAACCTCTATGTGGTGATTCGAGCAGTGGTCTGCATGCCGTTCTCTGTGGTATCCACCCGTCTAGCTCTGCTGTGTCTGTGAACCTGTCACCATGAACCCCAATCCTGGAGAGGCTTCCAGAGCCTGAAGTCACTTTCTTTATTCATAAGCTGAGACCAGATACACCTGAAGCCACCCTGGGATCAAGGTGACAGCCTGTGCCTGGGAAGCCTGCTCCTGCCCTCCACACCCGTCAAAGGGGGCAGTGAGGATAGGAGCTTTAGAGCCATACACAGGCTACACTCACTGGCTGTTGGCCCCAGCAAATTACTTCACCTCCCGAGGCCTCAGTTCCTTTATGTGTAAAATGGAAGCAATCACCCCAAATCTCACAGAGTTATTTTGAGGATTAAAGGAAAAAAGTTCTTGGAGCTGCCTTCCCTGGCGGTCCAGTGGTTAAGACTCTGCACTTCCAATGCAGGGGCCGTGGGTTTGATCCCTGGTCGGGGAATTAAGATCCCACATGAGAATGTGAATTGGTTCAGCCACTATGGAGAACAGTATGGAGGTTCCTTAAAAAACTACAAATAGAACTACCATATGACCCAGCAATCCCACTACTGGGCATATACCCTGAGAAAACCATAATTCAAAAAGAGTCATGTACCACAATGTTCATTGCAGCTCTATTTACAATAGCCAGGATATGGAAGCAACCCAAGTGTCCATCGACAGATGAATGGATAAAGAAGATGTGGCACATAAATACAATGGATTATTACTCAGCCATAAAAAGAAATGAAATTGAGTTACTTGTAGTGGGGTGGATGGGCCTAGAGTCTGTCATACAGAGTGAAGTAAGTCAGAAAGAGAAAAACAAATACCGTATGCTAACACATATATATGGAATTTAAGAAAAAAAAAATGTCATGAAGAACCTAGGGGTAAGACAGGAATAAAGACGCAGACCTACTGGAGAACGGACTTGAGGATATGGGGAGGGGGAAGGGTGAGCTTTGACAGGGCAAGAGAGAGTCATGGACATATACACACTAACAAACGTAGTAAGGTAGATACCTAGTGGGAAGCAGCCGCATGGCACAGGGATATTAGCTCGGTGCTTTGTGACAGCCTGGAGGGGTGGGATAGGGAGAGTGGGAGGGAGGGAGACGCAAGAGGGAAGACATATGGGAACATATGTATATGTATAACTGATTCACTTTGTTATACAGCAGAAACTAACACACCATTGTGAAGCAATTATATCCCAATAAAGATGTTAAAAAAAAAAAAAAGATCCCACATGACGCACGCGCGGCACGGCCAAAAACAGAAAGCTCTTGGAGCAATGCTGGGCAAGTGGCTGTGGCTGTATTATAATTCTTATTGTACCTGCCAGTCCCTGAGAGTCTGTGAGCTCTTCCAAGCAGGGTCCATATCCATCTTGTATCCCCAGGGCCTAAACCACCTAAGCATCCAGCACACACCAGAGGCTCAAAAGATGTCTGGAAGAATGGATGAAAAACCCTGTGACCCTTCATTTGAACCTAAACACTATATGTAACTAAAGATCAGTCACTTCTTGGGCAGGTGAGCCTCCTCCACCCTGTCCTATTTCTTTCCCAAGCCACGGAACAGAAATATTTTCCCCAAATCACTACTGCCCTGGAGCTTCCTCCTCCCTAATCCCAACCAGAAAAAGAACATTCTGTATATAGCAGTTGCCTGAGCAGAGGAGAGGGAATCTTGGGAGTCGCTTATCTGCTCTCTGCAGCCCTGCGAAGCCTTCTGTCTCACTGGTTAAGAGCATGGGCCCTGGAGAAAGAGCTCAAGAAATATCAGATTAAAAAAACTTCTTTTTTTAATGTTAAGTACATACATAAGTAATTATATATGTACTCATAAGAGCTATCTTGCCCTGGATAACACCAATCTGACAGGGAAACTAGTACTTCAAGTAAACAAATGCATTACTCATAATTACAGGTATCATTTGTGAGAGTCTGTGGGCCAGCCCTGTGACTGAGGCCCTCACGTACATATTTCATCCACCCATTCATTTATCCATCCCACAAACACCTGATTAACCCTTCCCTGCCCACCACCCACGCCAGGGACCTGTGCTAGGCACCGGGGTAGAGAGCACTGAACAAAACAAAGACCTGCCCTGATGGAGCACATTCCAGAAGAGAAAAACATCTGAGAAGGGAGAAGGTACACATGAAGACATTCTAGTGGGGCAAGAAGGATAAAATAAAGCAGCAAATAAGTAATGTCAAGTGATGGCGAATGCAAAGAAGACAAAAAAAGCAGAAGGAGGAGGAGGGGAATGATGTTGATGGAAGTGGGGGGTGGCGGGGGGTGTCTGGGATTAGAGGTGCTATTTGACCCAGGATGGTCCATTAAACCTCACTCTGCTAAGGTGACATTTCAGTAGAGACTTCAGGAAACGAGCAAGCCAGCCATGCAACGACCCAAGGAGAAAGGATTCCAGGCGGAGGGAAGAGCAAGTGCAAAGGTCCTGAGGTTGGAACGTGCCTGGCAGGTTGAGGGGCATCGGTTAGGCCAGTGTGTCAGGAAGGTAGTGAGTGAAGGTGGGAGTGATGGGAGGTGAGGTGAGCAGGCAGCAGAGGGGCCAGGTTACAGGGCCTTCTAGACCATTTTAAGGACTTCGGCTTTTTTATAATGATAAGACAATTAGCCATTTGACATACCACTGTCCTGTTTCTGTTTATTCTGAAAGAACTAGAAAAGCTAATTTTTTTAACCAAGGAAAAAAATATTTCTGGCTTCAATCCAAAGGCTACATAAACCAGCAGCATAAAGCCTTGAGAAAAGGAGAATTGGGTATAAATGAGTTCCATTTTCATTGTCTTTAATTATTCCATTGATATTAATGCCTTTGAAAATATACACAATGGTAATGAATATGGTGGTACACTAGGATGTTGAAAAAAATTTTAAAGAAATTTTATTATAATTTTCCATTAATTAGATCATTAAAACTTACTGTGCTATCAATTTTCCATTTAAGTAATAAAGCATTGATTGTTTTTAAAAAAAGGACTTTGGCTTTTATTCTGGGTTTAACAGAAAGACAGTAGAGGTCTGGGCAAAGGGTTCACAGGATCATAAAAGGATCATCATGGTTGTTATGCAGAAAAGTCTGCAAAGGGGACACTAGGTAGCAGGCTTTTGTATAAATCTATGTCCAAGGATTTTGCCCCAAACAAGTAGAAGAAGGGTGACACATTTGCAGGGAGAAGGAGGTTGGGGACAGGGTAGGACATGCATGAGATTTTGGTTTGGGGAATATTAAATTTGCGGTATCTTTCACATTTCCAGGGAAGACATTAAGTGGGCAGCTGGATTATGAGTCTAGAGTTTAGAGATGTGGGCTAGAGATCTAAAACAGCATTTAAAATATATCAGTGTAGAGGGTATTTGAAACCTTGGGAGGGGATGCTGATTGATCAAAGAAGTCCAGGAAATGAGCCCTGTACCCCAAATTAGAGAAGTAGGAAGACTGAGGACAAAACAGCAAAGGAGAATGAACAGGACAGTCAGGAAGGTGGAGAGAGAACCAAGAGAAGGTTGCATCCCGGAAGCCAGTGGACAGGGTGGAAGTGACCCACTATGTCAAATGCCGACAACAGGCAGAACTAAGAGGGGACTAGGTTGTCAAGTACAACCGCTGTACTTGACAATGTGGAGGTACCCTTGAGAATATTTCTAGAGGAACAATGGGGAAGAATCCCTGCTAGAAAGGGTGCCCAACAGTGGGAGAGTCGAGGAAATGAAGACAGACCATTATGGCAGGGTCTCCAAAAATGTCTACATCCTAATACCTGGCATCTGTGAATACTTAGGTTACACGGACAAGGGGAATTAAGGCTGCTGACAGGGGGATTATTCTGGATTATCCAGGCAGGCCCAATGTAATCACAAGGATCCTTAAAAGTGGAAGAAGGTAGGGCTTCCCTGGTGGTGCAGTGGTTGAGAGTCCGCCTGCCGATGCAGGGGACACGGGTTCGTGCCCCGGTCCGGGAAGATCCCACATGCCGCGGAGCGGCTGGACCTGTGAGCCATGGCCGCTGAGCCTGTGCGTCCGGAGCCTGTGCTCCGCAATGGGAGAGACCGCAGAGGGGAAGGGCCGGGGAATGAAAAAAAAAAAAAAAAAAAAAAAGTGGAAGAGGGTATTGGAAGAGAGAACCAGAGAGAGGGCAGCATGAGAAAGACCAAGCTCCATGTTGCTGGCTTTGATGTCGGAGGGAGGGGCCATGAGCCAAGGGATGTGAGCAGCCTCCAGAAGCTGGAAAAGGCAAGGACACAAATTTTCCCCTAGAGCCTCTGGAACGAACACAGTCCTGCTGACACCTTGATTTCAGCCAAGTGAAACCCCTTTTGGACCTCTGAACTGCAGAACTACAAGACAATAAATTTGTGTTTCAAGCCACAGAGTTTGTACTAATTTGACAGGCAGCAATACATTGACATATAGCCATCACTTCCATGGAATTTCACTGTAAAGGCAGCATCAAAGTAATATTTTTAAATCTTTACAACCTACAAGATAAACATTATGATCTCCATTTTAATAAAGAAGAAACTGAGACAGAGATCAATAACTTGCCCAAGGACATGCAGCTCGTAAGTGACAGCAGCTGAATTCAAACCCAGGTTTGTCAGATCCCCAAGCCACAGAGATGTCTTTCCATTATAGGGGTGGTCTTCACCCCAAGACCTCAGGTTTGGCAGACGTACAAGTCAGGCTGCCACTTGGGTAGGAAGGAAGAAGGGTGAGGAGGGCTCCAGACCGCTCATCGTAGCCCCCAAGTCCACCCCCACCCAGAGCGACTCAGATCTTCGATTTCATACACTGGGCATTTATGCAAGATTTCATTTGAAGAATTCCACTGATTAAAAACTCAATAGACATACAACTTGAAAATCCCCACAGGACACAACGCTGTCTTTCTCCTTCCAGGAGACTCAGGGCTTCTCGTAGTGAACTGGGACCAGGATGGGCATGAGCAGCGTGCAATGCTCCGTCTCCTGCAAGTCCCATGCCCTCTATGACCACCATGAAGCCCGACCTACTCGGGCAGGGCAAGTAGCCAGATGTCAGTCTGGGTAACTCAGCCCTGGCCTCAGAGACCATGGACAGCTTAGTCTTTGGCTTAAAAATAATCAGCCAAGAGCAGGGTTGGCAAACTCTCTCTGTAAAGGGCCGGACAGTAAATATCTGTGGTTTATGAGCCACATGATCCCTGTGGCAACTAGCTGACTCTGCCCTAGACAGTACATAAGGAATGAGTGTGGCTGTGTTTCCATAAACTTTATATACAAAAATGGGCAACAGGCCAGATTTCTGGCCTATGGGCCATAGTTTGCTGATTGCTGACCAAGAGCATAAAAAAAAAAATGAAGAACGGTACCTTTATTGTTGTATTTATTCAAGTCCCCTATAACACAGGCACCCATCCTAAAAAGGGAGATTGTTTCTCCCCGTTATGGCAGGCAGGCAAAGATCTTAAAATCAAGAAAGAGCTATGAGGCCCTGAGTAGGAATTAGATACTAAGTATAACGTCAAGACACAAGAAATACAAAAGCAATAACCATATGCAAGTTTGGTTAGAATCTTCGGTATGGTTTAAATTACCTATTTTTTTATTACCACTGAAGGAAATTAAATTTTAAGTTTTGTAGGAAAAGGTATAAAATTGAATTATGCAGCTATTCTTATCCAAGATTTTTTTCCTCAACAACCCCACCTGCTGGGGACTGGCTATGATCCCGTCCAGCTAACTGCTCAAAGACACACTTTCTCAGCAGCAAGATGCCAGCGAACCAGCACATGCTCGAGCCACCTGGCTTCCTGGGGAAAGCCTCCTCAAGGGCTTTCGTGATGACTATTCTTCTGGGTACTATATGCAGGGGGAAGGGAGCGCAGAGAGTCTACTGCACAATCAGGAGGAAAAGGGGTCAGACTGGAATTTTACCAACAAAAAAAACTACTGGGTCCCTGGCCGTGCTCTGCTCAAGCAGCCTACGACCCAGCGGTGACCACTGGCCATGCCTTCCACTTTTGCTCTAGAGAAGTCAGTGGTTACTGAATTCATAATTCATTCCTGTTGCACTTGGATTATATTTGGAGACAGGTGATTTGGAAAATGAACTTAACATTTCCTCAGCTCACTTCCGCAGCTAAAAACTACCAAATGTCCTTTAAGAAGCCCCCCCTCACCCTGTGCTGGCTAGCTGGAATGAGAGCCACTTGCCCCCAGCCTCTTGGGTATGTTTGCCGGGGACCATTACACAAACCTCAAACCAAATCTGTCCCAGGAAAGGCACCCACAAAAGCAGGCCCGTACCTTCAATGTGAACTCGTGTGCTGGCCTCCCGATCCTGTCCTCAGCCTCCAAGCTGTACTCCCGCGCCAGGGGCACCGTCGGGTGGTACAGGCGCCAGTGTTTCTCTCCCTCCAGCTGCAGGATGAAAACCTACAGGAAGCACAGGACCTCGGAGTGTCAGAGAGCCTCCAGACAACTCATGAGGCAAAGTGCTTCTAGAGTGTTAGCCCTCTCAGGGCTTAGATGAATCACAAATTTCAGATAAAAAAATAAAAATAAAAGATCACAGATACATTTCACTATACACTTAAAGTTGCCACTACTGGTATTCACTTTTAAAAACAGGTAATCGTGAAGTCTGACACTGGAGGGCTAGTCATTCTTTTCACTTTCATGAAAGACTCGCTGAGTTCTTTATATCCCAATATCTATCCCACTATCTCATTCTTTTAAATCTTCCATCAGGCAGCTGAAAGCCCATAATCTCTGACGGAAAAGCCAAGCTTCAGATATTACTGAGTGTCTAAAATCCTGAATACAATCCTTGGCACATAGGAAAATGTCAAGTTTTTTTATTCTTCATTCAACCAAAGATATTTTAAAGTTCCGTTAGAAATATATATTTTTAAATTTATTTATTTATTTTTGGCTGCGTTGGGTCTTCACTGCTGCACGCGAGCTTTCTCTAGTTGCAGCAAGCTGGGGCCACTCTTCGTTGTGGTGCACAGGCTTATTGTGGTGGGTTCTCTTGTTGCGGAGCACAGGCACTAGGTGTGTGGGGTTCAGTAGTTGCGGCACGTGGGCTCAGTAGTTGTGGCTCGCGGGCTTAGCTGCTCCGCGGCATGCGGGATCTTCCCAGACCAGGGCTCAAACCCTTGTCCCCTACATTGGCAGGTGGATTCTTAACCACTGTGCCACCGGGGAAGCCCTATTAGAAATATTTTTAAAAAAAATTTTTTGGAAACTGTATTGATATCAAATTGCTCTCAAAGGAGGGGGGAAAAAAGAGGATTTTTACTAATAATTCTGTGTTCACACATTGTCTTGGTACAAAAATAAAACTATGAAATACCTAAGCCAAAGAGTTAACTCTTTTTGGCAGCCACATGAGAATGAAATCAACACTTGTCAAGGCGCCAGTGCTTAAGTGAAACCATGACCTTCATTCAAGCTGCCCCAAGATCTTCACAAATGGAAAAAATATATACTTTTGGTAGCTACAGAAAAAGGACAAAAGAAAGCAGATGTAAGAATTACTTAAGACCTCACCTTATTAAAGACCATACATTATCAAATTAAAGAAAAAGCCAATCACACTTTTCTGTAGAAAATTCAAAAAACACCTATTTCGGAGGAATGTGTGGCTCTTTATATTAGTAAATAAACAATCTCCCCTTTCTGAAGGAGCAGGAAACCAGTTTGATGGGATTAATTTTGGCCCAACATCCCGGTGACTGAGGTCAAGCTCTGCAGAGCCCACACAGGAAGAGTTGGCAGAGACCCGGCCCGAGAGCTGAACTGAACCCTGACAACCCACTAACCCGGGCTGGCAGCAACTCGTCCTCCCGGAGCCGAGCAGTTTCCTCCCCCCTCACCTCTACGTCATCATAATGGGGCGGCAGGCCCTGAGAACCCGCAGGGGTTATGTACACATTCGAGCCAACCAACGAGCCAAAGTAGCACTCCAGCTTCTCCTGGATCCTCCAAAGCTCATCCTTTAAAAAAAAAAAAAAAAAAAAGATGGAGGGGAAAGAGGTAAAAAATACATTAGAAACAAGGAATATGTTCTTATGCGCTCAGCAAGTCTTTATCACACAGCTATTATGTTCCAGACACCTGGAATTCAACGGTGCCCAAGCCAGCACCTCTGTCCTCAGGACCCTTCCGTCCTCGTGCAGAACAGCACAGAGAAGAGGCAGCAGCAGACGAGACTGGAGAGGCAGGCAACAGGGAGTCATAGGATCTTAAGCAGGACAAGGACAGGATCCAATGCACACTTATAAAAGCTCACTCAGGCTGCAGTGTGGGGAACTGATTGTAGAAAAGCAAGAGAGAGGCGTGGGGAAGCTACGAAGGCAGCAGCGTAGGCTGGGAGTGATCAGGGTGGTAGGCGAGGGACAGAGAAGTAGAAAAGTCGAGATGCGCTCAGAAAGCAGCACTGACAGGACATGCTGATGGCAGGGGTATGGGAGTGGGGAGAATAAATCAGAGAAACATTCTTGCGTTTTTGACTGAGGCAGTTAGTCAGCTCCCAGTTCCACTGAAATGGGAAAGATCTGCTAAAGAACAAGCTTTCAGGAGGGAGAAAAGAAAAGCCGTACATTAGAAGTGTTAAGTGTGAGCTGCTAAGACCCCCGTGTGCTGGCTGGCTAAGTCTGAAGTTCTGGCAAGATGAAGAGCTAGGGGTTACATCTGGGAACTGCCTGCACAGAAGGGTACTCAGAGCAATGGAAGCAGAAATGACTACCTAGGAAGGGGGTACAGACAGCGAAGGGGTAAACAGCGTCGAGGAATGCTCCCTTTCTCCAGTCGCTAATCAGCTCTTCAGGGCCTAAGTCGAACTGAGGGGCCTAGAGAGGAGCCACGCATCCCTGCAAGGAAGAAACCTGACTGTCCCGAGGCAGGTGAGAAAGGAGAGGCAGCAGTTAGGCCACGTAGGTTTCGGCACTTCCTAGGTGCCAGGCACTGTTTCCAAGTGCTTTTACCTACTTCAGTTGTACAACCCTCCCCGCCACCCCATCTCGTAGGGTGGGTCCTATCAATGAGGAAATGCCGATGAGGAAACAGGCACGAGAAAACACAGCCAATGAATGATGGAGCCAGGATTCAAATCCATGCCGCCTGGCTCCGGAGCCCACGCCTTTGACCATGACTCTATATTGCCCCTCTCAGGAACTACCTTAAAGAAGTCACCTACAAAGAACACTGCAGAGCCCCTTCAAGCACACGCACGTACAGTGCCTGCCACACACAAGACACTGAAACATCGAAAGTATTTGCTGAGTAAACAAACCAGTGACCACAGCTTGGGAGTCAATCCTACCACTGGACTGAAAAAAACCAAAAAAACAAAAAAAACTACAGTATTAAAAATGCCAAGTGGGAAAGAATTGGGTCAGCATGAAAAAAGCTTTGGGAGACATCTTCAGTATAGACCACTGAGCTTCTCTACTTACATATCTCAGGCAACACAGGAAGAATGATTTTATGGCATCTGAATAGCTCCCGAGAGTTAAGAGATCTCCCAAGCTGCCTAATTTATACCTGGGAGGGGCCAGCAGGACCTGGCCCTGTAATTACATTTATACAGTAACTAGAACCAGTTTCTCTCTCGCTCTTTCTCTCTGTCTCTGATGGCCTGAGAGGTGTCTCAGGACCATATGGGTGACTTTATGGCCCCCAACTCAAGCTTCTGGGTCTGTAATTAAGGAGTACATGTCTCTTTTCTTCTTAAAAGTTACTGAAGGGTTTCCCTCGTGGCACAGTGGTTAAGAATCCACCTGCCAATGCAGGGGACACGGGTTCGAGCCCGGGTCCGGGAAGACCCACATGCCACGGAGCAACGAAGCCCGTGCGCCACAACTACTGAGCCTGCGCTCTAGAGCCCGCGAGCCACAACTACTGAAGCCCGTGCGCCTACAGCCCGTGCTCCACAATAAGAGAAGCCACCGTGATGAGAAGCCTGCGCACCACAATGAAGAGTAGCCCCTGCTCGCCGCAACTAGAGAAAGCCTGCGCGCAGCAACAAAGACCCAACACAGCCAAAAATAAAATAAAATAAATAAATTTAAAAAAAAAAGTTACTGAAAACCCCATCATTTGTACAATTTTTCTACCTCTCCTGGAAATAGAACCTTTAGCTTCTCAATCTGCCCAGTGTGGCCCACTAGAAAGGGATCTGGAGTCAAATCACCACCGACCAAGTTGTAGGTACAAGTCAGCTTCTTTATTTGCAAAGGAAGACTCCCACCCTAAGACTGTGGGAAACAGCATATTTATCTCAAAGCCTATTTACATTGCAAAGCAGTGTACAACTGTTACGGCTTCACCAGTGCTGACTTTGGCACAAACAAGGCTCCTGAAATCTGTCTCCTTTGACTCATGACTCCCAACTATGTCTGGAGATGCCAAGGAGGACCCCAGAACAATGGGAAAGGGAAAGGGGAGGCTCCTCCTCTCTCCACTGACCTATCTGCAGGCTCAGCTGAACACAACAGCTAAGACCAGAAGCCCACACTCACACCTAAAGGTGAAAGCAAACATGCCCAAAGCCCTACTACATTTCAATTAATATCTTTAGATATATGGTTAGGAAAATGCTTTAATTCTGGAATCAGAAGTCCTTACTTAGTAGCTATGGAAAAGTCACATCTGTGAACTCGTTTTTTCCACGTAAAATGGAGACCACAGTGATTGCCCCAATTATTTCAAATGTCTGTTGGAGGGTTCAAAAGTGAACACATGTAAATATCTGGTAAACTCATCTGGACTCCTGATACACAGATTACCCAAAGCAGATGGGAAACAACCCACCACTCTCTGGTTACCTCCTTACTCATTTCCAGACAAACTAGAATAATAAACTGTGCACACGGTGTGACCTGATAAAGAAAGGGCTGACTGTTCACTCTGATAGTCTCTCAATCTGGCCAATGAGGAACTGCCTCTATACTTTCTCTATCCTGATACCGACATATCCATTAGTAAACACACACACAACACTAAATCTGGTCACAATATAATACTTGGAACCCAGCTTCTAGTGTAAGAGGGTGGGCTCCTGAGGCCTAACAGATTTCTCAAGTCCTGGTGGTGGAAAAAACCAAGCAAAACAGGATGCATCCTAGTCTAGCCCGGGGGCTGCGTTGAGATGGGAAAGCTCATCCTTCCTGCTTTAATAAACATGGTTAGAGAGCTGAGTCAACAGGGCAAAGGAAACACAGTCTTGGCCACTTGAAATTGGGGAAGAGGAACATGTAGCACTTAAGCAGACGAGCAGAGAAGAGCCCAAGATGATTCTACAGCACAAAAGTGACAGCCACAGAGGACACCACACATATGCCAAACAATAACTTTCTGCTGGTCTGTGAACAAATTACATAATCAACATCAGTGATCTTTCCTATTCATACTTCTTAGGTGTCTAAAAACCACTCTTTTAAAAAAAAGTGCTACTTCTAGCTAAGTAAAGAGTCAAGGACAAGCTCAGAGGGAAGTACCTCGGTGTCCATATTTTCTGAATACACATCATGACTTGGTCTGCAAGTGATTTATAAATTCCTTTTGGGTGCTAGGGACAAAAGGCTGGCATTCGAAGGACGTTTCAACTGCTCATGATTGCCTCACTCCTTTGGAATGAGTGCTTGTACTGAAAAGTCTAAGAGTACTTGTACTTTATCCAGAGTACAAATAGGTTCAGGATCCTGCAGACAAGAAAGGGAAAGTCATTCAACAGATGAGGGAGGCCTAATGGATCTAACAGGGCAACTCGAGCTCCGTCGTGAGAAGCATTACTGGTAATTGATGACAAAGTCCTAGGAGCCACCACACAGCCAGAAGCCACCCGGTCAGCGTGGAACTTCACGCGCTGCTCTCCTCCTCCCAAGCTGACATTTTGATTCAGCCATGGGTCACAGAAGGGCATTTCTGAATGGGGATAAACTTTATCTAAAACTCAGAATGGGCCCTCAATTGTTCTGGGCCACCTGTCACATAAAGATCTCATGCCTCTAAGAGCAGATTAGCTCATCCTAAGTCTACATTTTATAAACACAGAAACTGAGCACAGAGGAGGCAAATTATTTCTCAAATGTCAACCACTGACGCAGAATAAATAAAAGGTTAGGCAGTCTTCCCGACTTGCAAATCCAACCTACCCTCCACCTGCGAATGCCCCCCCAACAGCAGTTCCAGGATCCTGCCCCTCAGTGCCAGGTGGGCTACTGTTAATAAGGGTGAAGTCTCTTTCTTAAACGTGCCTCTGGTGCCTATGTGGTCTGGTCACTGCTCAGAAGCCTCTGCTTAGGTAGATGTAGGCAGTAGAGGGAGGCAACTTTAAGGAAAAAATGATCACCTTGACACTATCGTGCCTTAAGTTACAGTGAAGGGACAAGCCAAACAGAAATGTCTACCATGTGTTGAAACATAAACCAGCCCACGGAAACGCTCCTGGAGGTGTAACGTCACTTTAACAAACTTTATAAACCTGAAGTATAATTTAGTTTTTGTACCTCACCACGTCCAGCCTGAGTTGTTGCAGATTCTAACAGTTTAGCCAAAAGGGAACATAAAGTCACTGAAGTTGTAATGCATTTGAAGACCAAACAGGTGCTACCTCTTCTCAAACTGGCAGCAGCGTAACCATCATCAAAAAACAGATTTACCCCTGAGCTGATCTGTGGCCAAATGGTAGCACTTTAATACACACCAGGGTTCTGCACTGGGGAGAACCTGTTACCTTAAATCTCTGAGGTTGGTGAAACTGAATTGTTGCCCTTTTCTGATCAAAATCTTTTCTCAGCTGAAGAAAGTGCACTTTGCCATCTTTATTTAAAACCTTCTTCTTCCCATTGACACACCGGCAGACATTTACGTCTCTTCCATAGTACATACCCCGGCTGCACAGACTCTTCAGATCTGAGAGCCTGAACAGGGACTGGTAATATGTGGCCAGCACAGGGTCATCTCTCTGGATAAGAAGGGGCTTCTGCTCCCAGAATTCCTTGAAAAAAGTCTCTGTCTTGACGGGCGAGATTAAACTTTCAAAGAGGCCACTGGGACTGTCAAGGTTCAAAGGGGAAGGACCACCAGCTGCCTCCAGCTTCACCTGCTTACAGGGAACAGGCCCCTCTTCCTTCCCATCCCCTGCAGGCTTCACTTTCTTTGGCATCGTTGTCTTCAAGACAAGGCAGTGAGGAAACGCAAACCTGCCAAAAAGAAGAAAACACTCGTGATTAGGCGTCCCAGTTTCGGTGTCAGAGGATCTCATACACACAACTTGCATGACTATTAGGCCTTTGTGCGAACTCTTCCTAAGCCAAGGCCATTTCTACCAGAATAAGATACAGCCTGAAGCCAACACCATTTCTTCCAAGATATGATTCAGCCTCAAACACTATGCAGATCACATATTCACAGAAAGGAAGGCGTGTTTTTCTTGTACACAAGCACTAAGTCGTGGAATTCATCACTTATCGGAAGGTATAATTATCCCAAATTAAATGATTCAACTATCTCAGCCGTTCCTAGTCACAGTTTTTAGCCTGTGGCCATTGACACAGCAAAGTTGAAATCTTAAAGTTGGCTTTAATCAGCACCAGATCCCAAATCTAATTAGATGCACTCTGAGTTATAAATACTTGACTCAAGAACCACCAAGAGCTGCCCACGGCCAGGTGCTCCTCACCAAAGCACTACCCCCAGCTGCTGTCCTGGAGGCCACCTGGGCCAGAGGTGCCACCTGACGGCTGGGGCAAGAAGATGCCTGCTCCCAGGTCCTTAACCACCTGAATTGCCTCACTTCCAAACCTCAGCTTATTCCTAAAAATTGCCACTTTATCAGAAAAATTAAAATAAAGCAGAAAACTAATTGGGGGCTGAAAGTGAAGGGTAAAGATAGTTATATCTCAAGGCTTTTAAAAGCTCTACCTTTTTAACTAAAATAAGACATAATAAAATGGCAACGTCATTAACTTCTAACAAAGCTCTCCTCCCTCCAGCCTTCACGTGCACACACATCCCCTGGGCGCCTAGGGCTTGGGTGGGACTTGAGATTCTGCATGTCTAACAAGCCCACAGGTAGTGACGCTACTGCTGGGCCACAGACCACACTTGAGTAGCAAGAGAATCGACTCCCCTGAGTATTGCCAAAGGTCTCTCAGAACTGCCTCAAACCACAACTGTCGTCACGTTTACAATGCAGGTGTCCTGCATCTGGAGTTCAAGAATGTATGAATTTAAATTATATGAATTTCCTGAAACTGCTATTTTAAAATCAATTTTTTTCTGGGAAAGGGGGTAGGTCCATTGCTTTTACCAGATTTTTGAAAGAGTCCCCATCCCCCAAAAAGGTTACGAACCACTGTGCTTATAAAAACCAATTCTTCCCAGAGACCAGTAACTTATTTATAAATGTCATGCTTTTCTATTTTGTTGGGCTATCAGAATTGCAAGCACACTGTTTTCTGCTCTTTTGTCATTATAACTAAGCTGTATTTGAGCTACACTATAGACTGAGTAGAATTAATGGTCTGGCCTGGGAAGTAGGCACCCGAACAATGTGTTACACATTGCAACAACTAACTTACAAATTTATAATTGATAAATTCAGAATAAACCTAGAAAATAAATTTAGAATTAATCCCTCTGTCTAGTGTACCCAGACCATTAGTCACTTAGTGGCCGTCTTGGTGATCAAATTTACTGTCCTAGTATCACAAAGCTTGCCTTCCGGTGACCCTTATTTTACTTGACAATGATGGCCCCAAAGTCCAAGAGTAATGATGCTGGCAATTCGGATATCCTCTTACTGTGCCTAATTTATAAATTAAACTTGGTTATAGCTATCTGTGAATAGGGAAAAAGCACAGTATATACAGACTTCCGTACCATCCACGATTTCAGGCATCCACTGGGTGTCCTGGGACGTTGTCAGCCGTGGATAAGGGGGCGCTACTGTTTAAAACTCTCTAGTGGCCTCATTTTAGCTTCTAAATATTGTACCCACAAATAGCTCAGTTCCTTCAAAAGGTCCAGTACTTTGGGCAGGAAACACAGGACCATAGTATAAAACTAATACAAATTGATACTAAAAGCTTGCATTGAAGGGGTAAGGGCTTAAGCTTTTTTCTTAAACTTTGGGGAAAAAAACTTTGATGTCTTAGATATATCATCAATGAGACACATTTTCTGAAAATGTTTCTTATTCCTTTTAAGTTAAACAGTGTGCTTTCTCAACTGAAGAATCAAAGCTTCAGTGAGACAAAGTACTGCTAGTACTTGGAGCCCAGAAGTGATGTAGAAATACAAGAGATACGAAAACAGATTCAGAAGACAGCATTGCTTGTGCAGAAAAGAGACACCTGCTATCCTTTGAAAGGTCAGCATGTGGTGGATGTCAGGTCTGGGAACTCAGATTTCAGATGTGTTCCCACCACCATTAACTGAAAAGAGGGACTCACTGTGTCTAAGCTGTTTGGACAAACAATGCAGGTTATACCGAACACCCGCATTCCTTCTGGGTGTCTGGAATTTTGATACATGCCAGCCAGAAGGTCCTACATGATGAGCCCCCAATAAAAACCCTGGGCACTGAGTGTCTAATGAGCTTCCCTGGTTGGCAGCATTTCACACATGTTGTCACAACTAGATGCTGCAGCAATGAAGCACTTGGTCTCCACCTGCTGTAATGCATCAGCTGTGAGTCCTAGCAAATCGCTAACCCTGGGGATGGTGTTGGGACCCGGGATACAATGCTCACATTTAATTGTTAAAAACTGTTAGGTTGCCTCAGAAGGTCTGCATAATTAAAGGTGTTTATTAATGGAAAAGTAATTTCATATTCAGCTACACATTTCTTATCCCTTACAATTGGTCAGTTTAAAATTTATTTAAGGGATGGGAGCAGCAGGAAGATGCAAACAAAAGGCTTGTTTTCCTTAAGCACAGTATATGAATACAGTATAAGCATATTCACCAGGAAGTGTGGTGAAACAATGTGTGCAAAATACTTAAGCCAAAAATAAAATCACTTGAAGCGTATTTCCCATCTACAATCAGTAACAAAATAAATCCCAACAGTGCATAACGAATGCTTTTGTTAGACTCTGAATTTCACTACTTTTACTGCCAAAAGTTACATCATTTGTTGTTTCTATGTGTTCATTTTGAAATGATTTGAGGCTCAGTTAATTGGAACCTAGCTTAGCGGTTACCAGGCAAACATACTATTTCTCTGATTCTCACACTGCCCATACTGTAAGACAACCATTCTTTTTAACAGCTTTTGGGAGGTTGAGAGGAGAACAGATGACATACTCCACCACATTAAACTTACAAAATAGTAAGCTGCATCACAATTTCAGAAACATTAAAAATTAAAAAAGCAAAAAGTGTGTTTTGTAATGTTAAGAAATATAGGAACTAAACAAGAGAATGCTTTGTCTGGAAAAGTACAGCCAACACTAGCCTGCCTCTGAATCTCACAGACCACCCAAACAGAAGTTAAGAGTAAATATTTTTATAAGCTACAGGGCGAAAAAAAAGCAAGCGTTTAAAAAGCAATTGTTTCCAACTTAAGCTGACCACAGCATTCAAATGTAAAAAGATTAAGTTAAAAGATTCAAGGTTCATATTTTACTAACTGCCCACAGATGAAAACCAGCAACTAATCTAAACAACTTTGAAGGATTAAACTCCACAAGAAAATCAATAGTGATACCCATTCTACAGGCAACAAATACAAACAAAGCCTTTATATTTTTAAGTGTCCTAACTTCCTTTTCTATGGTAATATTCACTGACCAGAAGTCTTAACACAGGGCAACTATGTGCACATTTTCAGAGCCTAGCACAGACCAGGGCACATAGGAGGTCCTCAATAAACATTTGCTGATTTTTTTCCCCTTTTCATCTTTTGTATACAATTTTAGAGGAAAAAAATCTCAAAAGCCTCACACAAAACAGAGTTAGGGGAAAACAGATGGTTTGTTCAGTGGGGATGATTCTTCTGATGGCAGCTGTAGCTTGAGTATTCAACAGTACGGTCAGAGCTGAAAGGCACCTTAGCCATCAGAGGTCATTACCAACCAGGAGAGGGAGGTGTGTCTTTATAAGCTCCAGAGCTGTGTTTTACAAAGTGTAGTCAAATCACCAGGAAAGCTTGTTAGTATGCAAATTTATGGGCCCCATATCAAACCTACTGGACCAACACTTCTGGTAGCTGAGCCCAGAAATCTGCAGTAACACAGTTTAAAATAAGTTAAAAAAGAAAATTAACAGTTCTCAGCAGGAGAATTTTAGATCCACTAACATAGAGGAGGATCATAGGCAAACTCAGCTCAGTTAAACGCACACAAACTGACAGAAACGATATATTGCCTGTAACAAGGTTGCCTAGGCTGACTTAAAATATTTCCTTTGGGCCCTCATTGATGTTTACCAGTTCAGAGAGGGAAAAGTGGTTCTCCTGTTGACCTAAAGCTGTGAGTGGCACTTATCTTTTAAATTCTATTTTAGAAATAAGGTATTGAACCTCATTAAGGTATTTTAGTAACCCTGAGGTTACAAAGGATGAGGGCAGAGAGGCAAAACTATCCAAGCGATGGTGTTAGAAGCTGGATAAATCAGGCTTTTCCACTTAAAGATGAGCCCAGTGAAATCAAAGGCCCGGCGCCGAATTTACAGCTGATTATTGGAGTAATCAGAGCCTGCGACTCCCAGGCCAATACTTCCTGAAAACAGTGAACAACCTGGTCTCATTAACCTGATGGACGACCCAAAAGTCGAGCAGCCGTTCTAGAAATATTCGGTGACAAATGAAAGAAAGGGAGGGTAGGCTGTCATTTTAAAGTTACGGTGGGGAGAGAAAGACGCAGCTCTCCCGCCCGCACTTCAGGTTTTGCTGCTGTAAAGCCGGTATCCTAGGCCCGCCCGGCCGCCGGGGAGGACAGCCCATGTGGCGCTCCCATACAGCCCGCCGAGCGGGGCCAAGGCCTGCATCACCCTCCCTGCAAACCTCCAAACTTTCCGTGTGCTCGTCCCGTCTCAAGACCACCGGCCGAGCACGTGGTTACTCTTGGTGCCCAGGCCATCCGCAATCCTGGGCGGCACCACACCCAGCGTGTCCACTATTCCAGTGCCCGGGATCGTCGAGCGCGTCGGCGCGCGTCCCCCGTCCCGAAACCAACAGAGCCCGCTGGCCGTGGCCCGGCCGTACCGAAGCTCTCGGCCCGAGCCCTGCGGTCCCCCCCACCCCCGACCTTGCTCCATCCACACTCGCGCCTGGACGCCCGGAAGTTGAGCACCACCCCACATAGCAGTGGCGGGGACGGAGAGGCGAGACTGCTCCACTCACCGGGCTCTGCGTGGGGCGCGCGGCCGCGAGCCAAGCGGGCAGCGGCGTGGGTTGGGGGCGGGGCGGCGCAGAGCGGCGCGACGTGAGCACGCTCCGGCGGCCCCTCCTGCTGAGCGCCCTTCTCCACGCCCGCCGCCGGCCCGCAGCGGGTGGGAGGGGGCTTGCTTCTAGCTCCCGGATGCAGGGGTATGTTGGGAGTTAAAGCCCGCACATTTTTTTCTCTGGTGCAAAAGGAAATAAATGAGGGTTTTTCTTGAATTGGGGCGGGATGAGGCTCAGGATTTGGGACGTGCTCTAGTACCGCCCTGTTCCTTTAATGAATGGAGAAACTGAAGCCCGGAGGAAGTAAGTGAGCTGCCCAGGTTTAGGGAGCTAGCGGTCCAGGTTCTCCATCGCTGTCCTTTGGGGCTCTCTGCTACACTGTGCTGCTTTGTACTAAGTCAACTATAATTACTATCGTGTTGCTCCCGGAGAGAGAATTAATCCTGATTTTAAAGGATGCTGGAAATTCTTGCTACTGTGCCTGTAGAAGAAAAGAGCAAAAGTAATTATTGGAGTAATTTCGGCCTAACACTCTCTCCTTTTGACTCATTATCAGGACTTTTGGGTGGGGAGGCTGGCTGAAAGGAGTTGTCAGGGGATCAATTGCACACCTCTGCTCTGGCCTGTGCGTTTCATAGCTCTGTACACAGGCAGAGGGGTCACAAAGAAAGTCCTTATTTCATTCTGTTAATATGATTGAAACCAGAAGCTCTTTCTGATGATCAAGGGACACATGAGCAAATGGGAACAAAGTTTACCCTTATCCAACACTTGTCCAAACTAACAATAATCGCAGCCAGTAACGAATATTTCTAAAAATGAATGCATAAACTGATGAAATAATTTGTATAGGAGTATACCTAATGGGATTTTCATTTGAAATTTCACTTAATGCCCCAAAACAGGAGACAATCATAATACTTTTGTTGAGCACCTACCGTTTTCCAGGCACTTTAAAAAATTTGTACTCAAACTTACTAATCCATACAAAAATCTATGAGAAGGATGCTACAGTTATCCTCATTTTGCATGTGAGGAAAATGAGGCACCAAGAGACTAAGTTATTAGTCAAAGGTCACAGAGTACACCGGTCAGAATGGCCATCATCAAAATATCTACAAACAATAAATGCAGGAGAGGGTGTGGAGAAAAGGGAACCCTCTTGCACTGTTAGTGGGAATGTAAATTGATACAGCCACTATGGAGAATAGTATGGAGGTTCCTTAAAAAACTAAAAATAGCACTACCATATGACCCAGCAATCCCACTAGTGGGCATATACCCTGAGAAAACCATAATCAAAAAGAGTCATGTACCACAATATTCATTGCAGCTCTATTTACAATAGCCAGGACATGGAAGCAACCTAAGTGTCCATAGACAGATGAATGGATAAAGAAGATGTGGCACATATATACAATGGAATATTACTCAGCCATAAAAAGAAACAAACTTGAATTATTTTTAGTGAGGTGGATGGACCTAGAGTCTGTCAGAGTGAAGTAAGTCAGAAAGAGAAAAACAAATACTGTATGCTAACACATATATGGAATCTAAAAAAAAAAGGTTCTGATGAACCTAGGGACAGGACAGGAATAAAGACACAGATGTAGAGAATGGACTTGAGGACATGGGGAGGGGGAAGGGTAAGCTGGGACGAAGTGAGAGAGTAGCATGGACTTACATACACTACCAAATGTAAAATAGATAGCTAGTGGGAAGCAGCTGCATAGCACAGGGAGATCAGCTCCGTGCTTTGCAACCACCTAGATGGGTGGGATAGGGAGGGTGGGAGGGAGACGCAAGAGGGAGGAGATATGGGGATATATGTATACATATAGCTGATTCACTTTGTTATACAGCAGAAACTAACAACACTGTAAAGCAATTATACTCCAATAAAGATGTTTTTAAAAAAAAAAAGGTCTCAGAGTAATAAGAGGTAGAACCACGATTTTAATCTAGTCAGTCTGGCTTTAGAGCAGGCTTTCTTAATCTGGGCGTTACTGGCATTTGGGGCCAATAATTCTTTCTCGTATGGGGCTGACCTATGCATTGTAGCAGCACCCCCAGCCTCTACCCATTAGATGCCAGTAGTGCCCGCACCCAATTTGTGACAGCCTAAAATGTCTCTAGACCCTCCATAGTTTCTCTGTGGGGAACTACTGCGTTAGTAGGAACCCCCACCCAGCTGTTAGCCTCACACTATGCCGCAGTTACATTCCGCACGTCTCAAGAGGAGGTGCTCAACGTTGCCCCATAGGACTCACTAAAATAGGTTCCATGACCATCACCCACATTCAGAGTATGTAAAGAGAAGACTGGAAATTGAAGGGCGATCTGCGGCAGTAGGGAATGTATGGGAACAGAAGATCATCAGACTAGCGGAGATGGCTGTAGCATTTCTCCTCCTCCCCCAAGCCAAGTGACAGGGACTGCAGAGCCCATCAGAGAGAATGGGGGCATCCGCAGAGGAGTACCTGACCTGCTGCTTGCTGAGCTGTGAACCTGCTGGTCTGTGCTGGGGCTGCTATCAAAGAAGAGCCCGGTGTAGTTACAAAGTTCTTGGATCCCTGAGACATGGCTGTGGGAGCTGGGGGATGGTTTGTGGACAGAGACAGGTGGCTGCTTCTTGCTGGGAGGATCCTGAAGGAGGTGGCACTCTGAGGCCAAAAGGCAGCATGAGGCAACTGCTCTAACAGCCTTTGTCTTGTCAGGGACCCTTGAGTACCCTCTGGGTGGAGGGGTGCTGTGGAAAGTATCAATACTTGGGCTTGGTCCATCGGGAGGTGCCCTGCCAAAGGGAGTGACAGCAGCTGGTGAAGGCCAAGCATTAGGAGGCAGTGGGGTCCACCGGCATGGACA